AGAGACCTGAGTTCAATTCCAGGCAGGGCAAAACCTTGGGCAAGTTTCCTTACTCCACACGCCTAATAATAATCCCTCCAAAAAACCAAAAACAATAATTAAATTGGTCATTTTCAATCTACGACTGTTTGTGGGACATTGCTGTGCGCAATTGGCTGCCGCGTTCGCCCACAAATATACAGTCAATTCACTTTACAGTGTGTTCTGTGAAGCGCTTTGGGACGTCCTCCTGACGTGAAAAGCGCTATATCAAATGCAAGGATTATTATTATTATTACCGAATACTGCCAGTCGGCAGTAATTGCTCTCCAATTGGAGAGTAATCTCCAATTGGTTAGAGTGTTTGCAACCACTCCAAACAAGTTCGAATTCGGTAATACCAATAAGTCAGAGTCTCAGGATGTTTTAATCAAAACAAACTTTAATTATGCATACATGTGTAAAAGAGCATCATGACTATCTTAATAAAACAGCAATACTACTAAGCGTTGCAGATTCAGCACTTTGTCTTTACAGCAAGCAAACTTTAGTTCTTCAAACGATCAGGCCTTGCGTTTTCTAGCTTTCAGTCTTCTTTGTCCAAACTTTTATCCTCATTCTTCTCTGCAATCACTCCTAGATGCTCTGGAGTTAACTAACTTACGTAAGTTGGACCCTGGCTTTATAATACGGTGATGGGTACTATACCAAGCCTCTGATCAGATCATCCCCTGAGGTCACCACGTGAACATGCTGTCTCATGGAACAAGTCTCGTGATCACTTGATAGTCTCATGGCATGTCTGACTGATAAGGTTGTTCCTAAACAACATTGTAGCACACATTGAGTTAAATTAAGACAAGGATCAACCCAGACACTGTGTGGGTAGCTGTGTTGATGGTTTGTGGCTTGAGTCAGAACACAAAGATATGGTCAGGGCCCTTTCTGCTTATCTACTTCTTCAAAGCGCTGCTTGTTCTTTTAATTCAGCCATTTTACAGCACCTCATAAGCGTTTCTTTTATGCCATTTTAACCAACTTATAACAGTGGGAAGGTGAAACAAAAACATAAAAAGCTGGGAAAACTCAGCAGGTCAGGCAGCATCTATGGAGAAAGGAAAGTGAGTCAAAGTTTCGGTTCCTCGACCCTTCGTCAGAACTGAGGTGTTACCTGGGGGATGGGGATGTGAGTGAGGAAAAGTTGGCCCCCATGGGTGAAGGCCGGTGGGCCTTGCGGTGAGAGTAGGGGAAGGGACAGTCAGAATGGTTGCTGTAGGACAGCTGACGGCGTCTCCCACGGTGGGCACAACGGAGAATGTGAAGGGCGAAGCAGAGGGAAGCCGTGGGGGAGTCGAGGAGGGATAGAAGTCGGGGCAGGTGGAGGGAGAGGAGGGTTGAGCGAGAGTATTGGAGGGAAGGGGACGGGGTCAGGAACATCTTGGGGAAACAGCTTGGGTCAATTGTATCAGCCAATGTGTGCATGCTGAGACTCGGAGCGGACATGAGTGTTCAGCGAGCCATGGTTATCCCGCTGGGCTGGTGAGACTCAGGGAGGAGATGGGGGCAGTGATGTCTTCCCAGTGAGTCCTGGCCTCGAGATTCAAATGAGGCTGCTTTTCTGACTGGAGGGAAGTGTACAGTGGCATCCCAGGGATCAGTATTAGGACCACTGCTCTTCCTAATATACATAAATGATCTGGACTTGGGTATAGCAAGTACCATTTCCAAGTTTGCGGATGACACAAAGTTAGGTAGGAAGACATAGACAGAATGGTAAAATGGGCAGACACATGGCAGATGAGTTTCAATGTGGAGAAATGCGAGGTAATGCATTTTGGTAGAAAGAATGAGGGGAGGCAATACAGGCTGGTAATACAATCTTAAGGGGGGTGAAGGAATAGAGAGACCTGGGGGTTCAGGTAAATGAATCCTTGAAGGTGGCAGGACAGGTAGATAAAGCTATAAAAAGGGCATATGGGATATTAGGCTTTATAAATAGAGGCATAGAGTACAAGAGTCAGGAGGTTATGATTAACCTATATAAAACACTGGTTAGGCCTCAGTTAGAATACTGCGCCCAGTTCTGGGCATCACACTACAGGAAGGATGTTACGGCATTGGAAAGGGTGCAGAGGAGATTTACGACGATGGTACCAGGAATGAGGAACCTTGATTATGAGGAAAGGCTAGAGAGGCGAGGATTATTCTCATTGGAGCAGAGAAGGTTACGAGGAGACCTAATAGAGGTCTTCAAAATCATGAGGGGATTTGATAGGTTAGAAAGGGAAAAACTGTTATCCTAACTGAGGTGAGAAGACATTTTTTCACGCAGCGAGTTGTTCGAATCTGGAACGCATTGCCTGAAAGGGTGGTCGAGGCCGATTCGATAACTACTTTTAAAAACGCGGTAGACGGGTATTTGAGGAGGACAGGTTTGCATGGTTATGGGGAAAGGGCTGGGGAGTGGGATTGACATTACATTGCTCAATTCAAAGAGCCGCACAGACTCGATGGGCCGAATGGCCTCTTTTTGTGCTGTACGATTCTATGGTTCTATGAGGTGGGCGGGATGAGGTCACGCGGCAGCCGGTTGCTGATTGGCTGAGGCCTCAGAAAGTCAGGGATGGCGGCGCGGGCGCTGCTGGTGTGTACCAGCTGAGGCGGTGAGTCCCTCGCGAGTCCCTCCGCACCGCACCGGGTGGCCTCGGCCCTGCACTGGGCCTTGTCGCCGCTCGGGGCGTCGAACTCCTCACCGGGAAGTCCTCAGATGTTGAGTCAGCCTCGCCGCGGGTCCCACTGAGCTGCCGGCTCCCACCGTGTCCCAGGTCCCGCTGGACGTTGAGCCACGGGTCCTGCCCGAGGCGCCAAGTCCCAGCCTCGCTCCGGCCGCCTCGGGCCCCAATCCCGGGTAGGCTGCCTCCGTCTCCACTCCACTCCCGGTCGCGGGAGACCTCAACATCAAGCCCCAGGGCTCCCGACACTCCAGCTGGATGACCCACAGCCGGCCCCATGCGCCTCATGATCCGCAAGCACCTCGTGAACCCATCCTCGTGACTGTCGCCATCTTACCAAAATGCTCAAACAGCATGAAACCTGATGCACGAAACAGTGAGAACACCAATACGCAAAAATTATTGAGCAGAAAATATTCGAAAACGCTAAAAATGATGCAGGAAAATGACGAAAAGAAAGTAAAGTATCCCCCCAAAAAGTATATCACTCCACAACGCTCAAAAAGCATTTCTCTCTCTCACTCTCTATGTATCTCTCTGTCCGCGTGTTTACTATTTCAAACTTTTTTCGAATATTTTGTTGTGCATATTTTTCGTGTATTGGTGTTTTCCCTTTTTTGCATCAGATTTCTTCCTCTTTCTTGGTCTGTGTTCATCTCTCGGTTTGTGAGAACACCAATACGTGAAAAATATCCAGAAGAAAATATTCGAAAAACGCTTAAAATGATACACGAAAATGATGAAGAGAAAATTAAAGCCAAAAAAACACAAAAATTATATCACTCCAAAACTCTCAAAAAGCATGAAATCTGATGCACAAAACTGAGAACACTAATATGCGAGAAATATGGACAACAAAATATTTGAAAAACCTTTCAAATAGTTCATAGTTTTTTTGCCTTTAATTTTCTGTTCATCATTTTTTGTGAACTATTTCAAACTTTTTTCGAATATTTTGTTGTGCATATTTTTCGTGTATTGGTGTTTTCCCTTTTTTGCATCAGATTTCGTGTTTTTTGAGCTTTTTGGAATAATATAATTTTTGGTGGTTTTTCAGCTTGAATTTTCTGTTCTCATTTTTTGTGTATCATTTTAAGAGTTTTTCTAAGATTTTCTTCTCGAGATTTTTCGCATATTGTTGTTCACACTATTTTGAACATCAGATTTCATGCTTTTGAGCGTTATGGAGTTATATAATTTTTGTTTGTTTTGGATTTTTTATCTTCTCCATCATTTTTCCTGCATCATTTTAAGCATTTTTCGAACATTTTCTTCTCGATATTTTTCACATATTGCTGTTCTCAGTTTTCTAAATCACATTTCATTTTTTTGAGCGTTTTGGAGTGATATTTTGGGTTTTTTTTGGCTTAATTTTCTCTCCGTCGTTATTCGTACATCAATTTTAGCGTTTTTTCAAATATTTTCTTGATAGTTTTCACGTATTGCTCTTCTCAGTTTTCTACATCACAATTCATTTTTTTTAGCGTCTATAATGCCATCTATAAAATCGTCTATATGTCAGGCCATCAACAAGGCGGTAAATAAAGCATTCTGTAGGGCCGTCTATATGGCCATCTATAGGTCCTACCCAGCTCGGGTCTAAAAACCCAAACGTCCAATGCCCTGGGTTGTCTTTCCAACATGATGGGCGCTATAAAGTCATTTGTTGTTGTTGTCTATACATCAGACCGTCCACACGTCAGGCCCTTTATACATCAGGCAGTCTACAATGCCACCTATATGGCCGGTTATGTGGCCATCTATAGTGCTGTCTATACATCAGGCGGTCTATAAGGCATTCTATATGGCTGTCTATATGGCTATATTGGCTGTCGATATGGCTATATAAGGCAGTCTATAAGATAGTCTATAAGGCGGACTATAAGGCCATCCCAGCTTGGGTCAAAAATCCCTGACTGATCAATGCTCTGGGTCGTCTTTGACCCTGTCTATATGGGCAGCGTTGAGGCCATCTCTATGGTTGTGTATAAGGCCGTCTATGGTTTTCTATATGACCATCTGTAACACTGTCTATATGTCTGTCTTTGAGGCCGTCTATAAGGCTGTTTATAAGGCCGTCCCAGCTCGGGTCGAAAAACCTGAATGTCCAATGCCGTGGGACATCTTTCCAACATGAAAAGCGCTGTACAAGTCTAATTTGTTGTTGTCTACATGTCACGCCGTCTATAAAGACGTCAATATGGTCATCTCTGCCAAACTTCACCGGCTCCCTGTCACAGAGTGGATCGACTTCAAAATCCTCACACTAGTGTTTCAATCCCTCCATTCCTTGGCGCCCCATTATCTCTGTAACCTCCTCTCTGCGCACAGCAGTAACCGAACCGGTGCCTCCGCTCTACTACGTCCGACCTCCTTCGCGTCCCCCGAATTCTTCTATGAAGCCCAGAGGTACTGGTTCTCATAGCACAGCCCCACTATCCCCCACTGAGCCGCACTTTCGCAAGAAGCCGATTGGCAGATCCCGGTTCTCTGAGGTTCTCCTGAACTTTGAGTTATTCACACGGACACCATTTAACGCAGGATTCGTTCGTTCGGGATGGATGGGGAAGGGGACTGATTTTTCTTTTTTTCACCCTCCTTCGGACACGAATGTGCTGGTGAGTGGCAGCGGATCTGCTGCCTGTCCCACGCTGCCCAAACCGCGGGGCGTCATGCGGCGTCTCGCTCTCAGTCTCTTCCAGCGGCGGTCGGTCCAGCGGCTGCTTCGTGCGCTATTCTCCTGCTCGGAAGCAGCAACAGGCGGAGCGGCGGCCATGCAGAAAGCGGTGGTGCGCTGCGTGTCGAGCGAGAGCCAACTGACTATCTCGCTGTGGTTGGGCGGCGGCCACAAGCACATGAGGCGGGAGCAAAGTGAGAGCCTGGGCGCCGCTTTGGCCAGGATTGGGCGCAACGCGCTCAAAAGTCGGGACAAGAAGGGCAAGAAGAGCCAGGCCTCGGACACGGGCCCGCCCACCGCGCCGCTTGTAGCTCTGTACGTGGGGGAGTGGGTGGTGCCCGAGCACACGAGCAACGCCGAGGCCTGGCAGCAAGGAGCCGTGCTGCAGGTTGGGGAGGCCCGCTTCCAGGTGGAGAGGAACCCGCCCGCACTCACCACCTTCCAGTTACCGGGCTGCCTCATGGCCGGCTTCCCCGTCTGCCCCAAGCTGGAGATCGAGTTCGGGGAGATGGCCGAGTCGCTGCTGCAGTGGCACCGGGAGACGGCGCCTGGGGCCTGGGAGGAGGCGGGTTGGGGTAGGATCTTCAATCTGACCAGCGAACACATTGGCCAGAAGCTGAAGCTGAAGTGTACCCCGGGCAACGGGAGCAGGTACGGCGCCGCCAAGGAACTGGAGAGCGACTCCTCCGTGGAAGCCGGTCCGGGACCTTGTACCTTCGACACCCGCCACCTGTTTACCGAGCTCCCGGAGGAGCAGCCCGGGCTCCGGGTAGTCTCTTACAATCTGCTGGCGGACGCGTACGCGCAGACCGAGTTCTCCCGGAACACTCTGTACCCGTACTGCGCGCCGCACGCCTTGCTGATCGATTACCGGCAGAGCCTGATCAAGAAGGAGCTGAGCGGCTATCACGCCGATATCGTCTGCCTGCAGGAGGTGGACAAGAGCGTGTTCGAGGATAGCCTTGGGCCGGCAATGGAGGCGTTCGGCTTTCGGGGAGTGTTTCGCATTAAGCAGAAGCAGCACGAAGGTCTGGCAACTTTCTACCGCACCTCCCGCTACCAACTCCTGGATCAGCACGATGTGATTTTCAGTGAAGCGCTGGGTTCCGACTCCATCCATTCGGATTTGTTGGAGAAAGTTTCCAGCAACCCCATCCTCAAAGAAAAGGTGTTGCATCGATCAACTGTTTTGCAGGTACGAGTAGATGTTTTATGCAATATTTATTTTAACCTTTCTGTTTTGTAAAGCATCTGCTTAAATATTATGCAGTTCGGCACTTTTATTTTAGCAAATTCAACATAACTTGTTTTTCTTATGAGAAGTTACAACTTTTTCTTAAATTTTGGTTGAAATAAAACGTTTGTATTTACAAACGCTACTGTTTTTGTTTAGGTTTGCATCCTTCAGTCTGTTAAAAACTCCAAGAAGCTGTGTGTAGCAAATACTCACCTTTACTGGCATCCCAAAGGTACCGGCATTCCTTGTTTTGTATCTGTTCTGCTTGAAGTACTTGTAACCTAACCTCATTGACAGTCCAGTTGAAAATGTCAGGCAAAACTGATGCCCTTCAACTCGATATATTTTTTTAAATAAATCTTACATTTGACTAATGACCGGGATCTGATTTGTTCTAACAACTTCTTACAATTGAATGGACAATTAGTTTGTTGACTCTTGCCATACTTCAATTAGGCTTTGAGTATAACACGAAATCTGTAAGTTCATGACTCTGAGATACATTTTAACTGATCATAATCAGTGATTAGACTATCTGGTGCATTTCCTAATAGAGGTTTTGCATAGTCACTTCAAAATTTCCTGAATTTGCCATTTTGGTTTTCTATTTACACCTTCCCAAGGAGGGGACTGAGTGGCCAGCACTGTGAAATGTGTTGGTTATATCAGATGCTGAATGTGTCTTCTGCTAAACTTGATGTGCATTGGGAGTCCCTTTCCCCACTACTTGCTGTCTATACAAGTTCTATTTAAGCTAGGTTAAAGATCAGTGTAGCAGGAGGGAACAATTAATTCCTGTGGTGGATATTTTGGTGTCAAATGTTTATATTAAATCTGTAAATTGTCCTTTCTCTAGGTGGACATATTCGTCTTATTCAGATTGCTACAGCTTTTCGTTGCCTTCAACAAATTACTACAGAGATGTACCCTGATGCAGCACTGATATTTTGTGGTGATTTTAACAGCATTCCAACCACAGGCTTGTATGATTTTATCACAAAGGGGAACATTTCTGCTGATCATTCAGATTGGGCTTCAAATGGTGAAGAAGAAGAATGCAGAATGTCTCTCAGCCACTCATTTAAGTTAAAAAGTGCTTGTGGAGAACCGGTCTACACAAATTATGTACGTGGATTTCAGGGTTGCTTGGATTATATTTTCATAGATAAGAACACATTTGAGGTTGATCAGGTTATTCCTTTTCCATCTCATGAAGAAGTTACCTGCCATTTAGCTCTACCAAGTGTTTCACACCCATCTGATCATATAGCACTTGTCTGCAATCTGAAATGGAGGTAGACCGGCTGTAAGGCTGCTCCTATTTCAATTACTTTTGTGGATTAAAAAATAAACTTGCTCTTGATACCATAGATGTTTCATGTATTGCCTAAAACAATGATTCAACTGTACATATTAAAATGAATTGAAGAAAGTGAAAATCACTTGTGTGGCTTCAGTTGTGCATTCGGTCATTTACAAACTTACAGAAATTAAAAGGGTGCAAAAAGACACTTGACGTAATTAAAAAATAACAAGCCCAGGAATACTGTATTAATGTGTCTTGGCTCAAATGGCTGTTGTTACCTACATTTAACAAATTCAGACAGACTTTAAGTGATTGGAATGATACTTTAAGCCTATATCATTCGCCTGCATTTGAGATGAACCTATTGCCTAAAATCTGTCTGCACAAATAAATTTGTTCAATCAGTTTGGTTATAGGAACATAGGAACATGAGTAGGCTATTCAGCCTGTCGAATCTGTTACGCAAACTCGTTAACTCAAAACATGTCCACAACTTGCTTTTCCCTGTCAATATTTTTGCCCCCAAAGTGATAAACCTGTCTCATAAAGGAAATTAGTAGGATTGGTCAAATGCTCTTCTCATTCCACACTTTTGTTGATCGTACTAGGGTCAAAGAAACTTTATGAAGATACAATATGATTTTATTGAAGAACTTGTCAAAAATGTGAAGGTTTAAATAATCAAGCTGACCAATTTAAATAGTATTCTGAAACATTATGCTCATTACTTCGTTACATTTGATTAAACTGCAAATTGCAAATAGACATGCTTATAATCCACAAATTACCATTTCATTTTACATTTGAATTAACTAATTTATACAAAAGTGGTTAAAGCATGCAAAAAATTGCATTAAATTAATAAAAACAAGTGTTTTATAAAGTTCATTTTGTTTAATTACGAATTATGCCAAATGGATTATGTAGATGCCTTTCATTATTTGAACTTTGATTTTATGAAATCTTCCAGTTTCATGAAGACTTGTCCATCCATAGACAAAACAACTAACTATATTACATGGACAGCAAGTCACACTGGTACCAAAAGCAACATGCAACATTAAAAAGTTACAAGTTTTAATATACTAGAACGACAATTTGCCGAGATTAACCAAGAAATAGAAATCTGAATGTGGAAGCATGCTTGCAGTGCAATAAGGAGTGGATCTTATCAGTGTTCTGAAGTCAAGGCTGTAATTGGGTGTAAAGCTGGTCAGTCGCTTATTTTGCAAAAAGGCTGCACTTAAGTGTCAAAAATACAGCACATGGGATACTGAAACCTAGGTTGCCAAATACAGATATCCACCATACTAAAAATAATCAAACTTTAATACTTTTTTTGTTAAATCAGAATGTTCCACCTATTTCAGATCAGTATGGGATGGCAATACTCATTTCAGAGACTACACCCTAATAAAAGTCAGAATAACCTTTGAAATGGCTTCAATACTATCTATGCCACCGACGAAAAATGAGAGCTCAAGGGAGCAGGACAGAAACCTGCAATCTGTGTTCTAATGGAGCATCGGTCAAATAACAACAAAAATTCTGTTCAATCGACTCCTTTTCCAACAATATTTTGTCTTACTAGCTCCAAAACCAAGTCATTTTCCTTCCTTCCACTCTGATGCATTTGATTCAATAATAGGAGGCAGCACCAGATTTAATAAAGTGGAATGATATAGAGGTTTCTCTTTCAGCAGTTTGTTTGGATGACCAGAACCATCAGAAAATGCAAGAAAAAGGATGGTATAAACTTACTGAAACAATAGTTTATCTGGCTAAATAAAGGTACTTAGTTAATTCTGCAGTTATTACATAGGTCTAGGTATAGTAGCTTATGAGGGAGCTAAAATTGGAGGAAATGCATTTTTTCTAAGTATTTCAAATGATCTGTTTTAAGTCTTCCACCAATTAATGTAATCAACCACAAATATTTGCAACAAATGGATGAGTTCGAATTAAGTTGCACTACCAAAGAGAATAACATTTTCAGAAATTACACATTTTTTGAAAGATTGAAAACTACCTTGTAACAAGCCTAAACATGTTACAAAACGCGTCTCATCCTCCTGTTAAATAAAATTTGTGGCTGCCAAATTAGATTACATCATCAGATCTAGGACTTTGTCAGCTCTATAGATAACCAGTCAAGTCCCTCACACAGGCCAGTTCCTTGCGTAGCACAGGCAGCCTGGACATACCACTGTAAAACAAAAAAATTGCAGTTATGTTCTAAGGAAACATTTTCCCAAATGCACTTAATAGACTAATACAATATTCTACTTTAAACCAGAATTAAACTATTCAACTCCCTTACCCAATTCTTTCAACTGGACATTAGTGTTTCACAAATGCTCGTTGCCCTCTGATATAACAATAATACTTGCATTTGACATAGCGCTTTATCACGTCTTCGAGACATCTCAAAGTACATCACAGAATATACTGTAAAGTGAATTGACTATATTTTGTGTGTGAGCGAAACATGGCAGCCAATTGCTATCTCATGAAATGATTGTTATTCAAATGAGCATAGCAAAATCTTGTTGGCTATTCAATGAGGACATTACAACCAAATCATTGGAAGTTTCTATGACAAGACGAACATAATTGGGGGAATTTGTCAAATAGCCAAAGATGTTCACTTTTCTGAAAAAGTTCACTTTCTGAAAAGGTCTTGGTAAAATTTCAGAATGCCACCACAAACAAGCAGGATCCATCCACCATGACTATTTGATTCAGGGCAGTATTTTATGCATTTTCAAATGTTTGCTATTCATATTTTAAAACAAACTTATTTTATTACTTTGAAGAACATTTTTAGCTCATATGAATGCAGTAAATTTTTTTTAATAAAAAGCTTTGCTTAATGTATGCATCACACAATGAGTAATAATTAATGTCAGTGTCAAAATGTTCTAGTCAGTGGTAATTGATAAATAGTAAATGGGTCTTACAGTTCTGTTGCGAAGGCTAGATAGTCCTAATTTTTCTGTCATTTCACCGATAGCCATGGCATTTGGTAGGTCTTGCTTGTTGGCAAATACCAACAAAACTGCATCTCTTAATTCATCTTCTTGAAGCTGGAACAAGGTCACATGTTTCAAATTAATTTTAAAAATAGAGCAAAACATTTATTAAAATATGCAGAGATAGACAGGAGTTCATACCCAAGAGTGGCAAATCAAATGCGTTTGAATTGTTGGCATTAAACAAGCATTAATGGATTATTGGGCTTTTTCACAAGTTGCAAGAAATATGAAGGCAAGGAGTACTATTGCAGTTGTACAAACATCAGATTTAATTTGAATTTCATAATACTTGCATCTGATATAATTTTAATCGTCGTTGATGTGACTCAAAGCTTCAAAGGATGTACTATAAAGTGGATTGTATTCTGTGGCAGAATCGCAGCAGCCTGTTGTGCACAGCAATGTCCCACTCACAGACATGGAGGGCGTGACTAATTTTATTTGGGGGATTCTTGGCCAGTTCACCAAGAGAACTTCTCTTTTTCAAATCCTGCCAGGGGATCATTAACATACACCTGAACAGGCAGATGAGTCTTCGGTTTAATATCTCATCTGAAGGACGGTACCTCCAACAGTACCACCCCCACCCTCCCCCCCACTCCTGACATTGCATTAGTCCATAAAACCAGATTGCATCAAGCCGTCGTGACCATCTATAGTCAGCTTAGACTATGTGATTCTGATGTCAGGCTTGAACTCGTAACCTACTGTCCCAGAGGTGAATGTGCTGCTACTGTGCCAGGCTGCCCTTTTGGTCCTCCAGCTTAGTGAACGAAGAAAAAAAAACAGTAAGCATCTCAAGAGTTTTGATCATAATTATTAGATTTCTGAGCCATATATAGGTTTAAAAAGTTGAATATACCAGAAGGGTATATGAATATGAAATCCAATAGGCATTTACCATTTTCTTCAACTCATCCGTGGCTTCCTGAATTCTTTCTCGGTCATTGCTATCTACGACAAAAATAAGGCCCTGTAACAAAAGAAACGTTCAGTTAACATTTCTCAAAATTTTTACTGATTCAACAAGCAATTTGAAGCATTATAAATTTGCAGTTTAGCAACAGTCACAGACGGGATTTAAAAAGTGCATTAACTACAAATGATGTGGAGTACAATCTTTGCATTTGATATAGCAACATCTCAAAGCGCTTTACAGGATACATAGATATATTGTAGACTGTATTTTGTGGGCAAATTACCTGGGTATTCTGGAAGTAATGCCTCCATAAGGGTCTAATTTTGTCTTGACCACCAACATCCCAAACAGTAAAACAAATGTTTTTGTATTCCACGGTTTCAACATTAAACCCTACACAGAGAGAAAGAAAAAACACAATTAAGGTCCAAACTAAAATCCTTTTCAAATCCCAAATAATGGAATGACTTATTTGCCTTAAAGGTATCACTGAAGTAAAAATGAGGGCTCAAGGGAGTTGGACTTTTATTTCTATATTTTATTTATATATTTATATTTTATTTTATTTATATATTGCACCTGACAGCTCAAATTCAGTTTTATAATACTGCAACTAGTAATAGTTTGCCTTCAAATCTTGACATCTAATGACTGTTGTAAAACTACTGCCAAGTGTGAAACTGACCTAGCAGAACTCTGGGTCAATGCCTGGTGATTATCTCACTGGGCAAACAAGAGAATGCTAAAGCTCGCCTTAAAACTTATTTATTTGTGGGAAGTGGGGAAGAGCAAAATGCTTCGCAGGCATACAACTTTGCTGGATGGTTCATGAGGACAGGATTAGACTCACTTGCGAGCACTCCTCCCACCACCTCTTCCAGTCACACATGAAGAATGGACAATTGGAAATGCTACTACTTTTGGTTAAAATGGCCAATTTAACGGTTAGCAATATAGAAATCACACTCCTAGGTACATTTGTGTCCATCACAGATTAAATTTTAAAGCGTGATCAAAATCAACAGTTTAATTCATTTGTTTTGGATCTTACATAATATTTTTAAATAAAGCTCCTGTGTATCTATTTTTACAAGGTGGAAATTTATTATGTGTTAATAATCAATTTGACTTCTTGAGTCAGATTAAGCGTTCAAACATTGATATTCTAAAACAGATGCTGAATATTAACTGGTGAAGTCTTCCTAGCAGTTCACAGTGAATTAAAGTTTTGAACTACAAAGGAGGTCGTTAAAATGATGAAAGGTTTTGATAAGGTTAACAAAAGGGAAGATGTTTTCACTTGTGGGGGAGACCAAAACCAGGGGCCATCAATATAAAATTGTCACAAATAGATCAAAATGGGAAGTTAGAAGAAATTTCTTCACACAGAGAGTAGTGGGAACGTGGAACATGAGGGAGAAAGGAATAGGTTATGCTTGAAGGCTTAGTTGAGGAAGGGCAGGAGGAGGCTCATGTGGAGTCCTGTAGCTCAGTAGCTCAGTGGTTAGAGCACTCGCTTTGCAAGCGAGAGACCTGAGTTCAATTCCAGGCAGGTCAGGGCAAAACATTGGGCAAGTTTCCTTACTCCACACGCCTAATAATAATCCCTCCAAAACAAAACAATAATAAATTGGTCATTTTCAATCTACGACTGTTTGTGGGACATTGCTGTGCGCAATTGGCTGCCGCGTTCGCCCACAAATATACAGTCAATTCACTTTACAGTGTGTTCTGTGAAGCGCTTTGGGACGTCCTCCCGACGTGAAAAGCGCTATATCAAATGCAAGGATAATTATTATTATTATTAAACACCAGCATAGACCAGTTGGGCCGAATGGCCTGTTTCTGTGATGTGTATTTTTAATGTATTCTAGTATTATACTATGCTACAAAATTATAATGCAGTATTATATAGGTGGAATATAAACTTTTGATTTATTGTAAAGTTCAGCCCCAAAACTTCCCGATCTAACATTACTTTCTTCCTGTAATTTCCATCATTTAGTTAATATACTTTTCAGTTTTTAAATTTCCACTAAATCTGAGGCACAACAACAAATTTATATAACACCTTTTATGTTGTGAGGATGTCTTGAGGTGCCAACAAGAAGAGGATGAATAAGATAGCATAATTGCCAGTGACTAGAAGCCAAATTAAGAAGTCGAGTTAGGGGAGCAGTACGAGTTCCAGTCAATTTTTAAATAGTATATGCCTTAAATTCAGATGACTTTCAGCTATGAAATGTAGATTGCATAAATCTGAAACACGATGTTTAAGTATATGCCAGGACTGAATAATGTACACACATACAGCAAGATTGAGAGATGACAGTCAGCTTTATTCATATTAAGTACCCAGCTGTACCCATTGCAACCAAAGGATCCAATATGGAATGTAGAAACCATTTAGCTTGCCATAAACAGTGTGTGTTACACCTTAAGGAAAACTGACATACATGTGCGATGAGCTTGTTTGGGTCATAGCTCATAAACGATAGAAGATCCTCTCAAAGCTACACTAACTGAAAGAGTTTACTGGGTGATTCAGCAGGTCCTCGAGTTATTGCAAGGCTTCCGTGTAGACAACACTTGCAGTTTTTCCTCCTTTGGCCATGATGCACAAGTTTTGAGATGAACCCACACATGAGCATCAAATATAGAATTGTCCATGGGAAAAGCAGGGCGTATTCAAAAAAAAAGGCCAGCAACCTTTAAGCTCGGGCCCTGTGCCTTGTTAATTGACACTGCAAAGCACTTTTTTCGAACAGGGAATTGGAGCCTTTTGAAGTCAAAAGAGCAGTCATTTGGGAGCAGTGGGATGCGACGAATGAATACATCGTCCCTGGAGTCCTGTAGCTCAGTGGTTAGAGCACTTGCTTTGCAAGAATTGAAGCAAGAGGACTGGTGAAATGGGCACACATGGCGGAAATTTAAATGTGGAAAAATGCGAAGTGATGGCATTCTGAGAGGAAGAATGAGGAGATATAAGCTAAATGGTACAATCGTAAAAGGGGTGCAGGAACAGAGAGACCTGGGGATCCACATAAGCTAACTTCAGTTATCAGGAGAGACTAGAGAAGCTAGGAACACTCTCCTTGGAGCAGAGAAGGAAATTTGATAGGTGTTCACATTTGATAGGGGATTCGACAGGGTGATCAGGGATAAACTGTTTCCACTGGCAGGTGAGTGGGTCTGTAACCAGAGGACACAGACTTAAAATAGTTGCTAAAAGAACCAGAGGGGAGGTGAGGAGATTTTGTTTTCACACAGCTAGTTGTTCAGATCTGGAATACATTGCCTGAAAAGGTGGTGGAAACTGATTCAATAACAACTTTCAAGAGAAGTATATTTGGGGAGGACAAATTTGCAGGGCTATGGCGAGAGCGCGGGGAAGTGGGATTAATTTGGACAACTCTTTTAAAGAGCCACCACAGACACAATAGGCCGAATGGCCTCCTTCTGGGCTGTATAATTCCATGAATATACTGTAAAGTGAATTGACTGTATATTTTATGGGCAACACATGCACAATAAGTCATAAAGACTGAAACCATGTAAAGGAAGAACTCTCCTTTCATAGGAATATCTATCCTGTATCCAAAAAAAATCTACAATCCAAAACATTGTCATTTTGGCAAAACAATGCAGCTGGAAAAGGAGATGGGGTATATTTTAGCGTCTCAATTTCACAAAAAGACAAATCCTCATCAGCAAGATAAAGAACAGTCGTGGTACAAACCCCTAGCCCCTCTTCATTGGCTAGTTCACCCTAATTAATAAAACCACACCTTTTCAAATATTCTAGGTGAAGGGCCAAGATCCAAAGTATCAAGCACTCTCAAAGATTGAAAGGGATGAGAACACGAAAACTGAGCAGTAGCAGGTAGCACCATGCTGTAGATTCTAGGATAAAAGCAAAAAATGATGGAGGTAACAAGTCGCACTAGTTTGATGCTTTGAAAATAACTATTATAGTTTACTTACCAATCGTTGGAATTGTTGTGACAATTTCACCTAGTTTCAGATTGTATAATATGGTTGTTTTACCAGCAGCATCCAAGCCAACTAGAATGAGAAGAGAAAAGAGAAATTAGGTTAGTACAAAACTTCCTTTAACTGAACTTGCATACCATTCACACAACATAAAGGAGCCATGGCTGAAGATTCTAACACTGAATCAAAGAAAAAAAATCATTGTCATGAAGATCAGCATTTGTCCTTGATTGTCTGCTGGAACTCAATCAAGAGGCCATGAAAATAAGTGGAGTTCCCTATAATTTAGTTTTCTACTGGTATTCAAAGAACTTACATCGTAAGACAGGTCTGTCTTGAAGAACTGGAAGCCTATCACTTTAAGAATGCACATAAACTTGCATAACTGTTATCTACCAGGAATTAAAATGATCATTGCTTTCATAATTATCCTTACATTTGAAAAAGAGCCTGACACTTCAGAAGGAGGATTTCTCAAAATTTACTAGTGCACCAACTGTGTATTTATAAATGAACACTACAGACAATTTGAAGTGAAGGACTATTTTTTAGTGTAGAAGGATTGTTGACCAGGACACTGGGAAAATCTCCCTCACTTCTTGTTTCAAATAGTGCCACGGTATCTTTAAATGTGCACCTGCACAGGCAAATGGGAACACAATTTAATATCTCATCTGAATAACAGCACCTCCAACACAGTGGTCCTCCAGCACTCTACTGGAGTGTAGGCCAACACTGAGTTCAAATTCTTGATACAGTTTGGGAGGAGGTGGTGATCCCACAGTCTTCTGACTCGAGAGACGAAAGCACTACCAACAAATCCAGACTCACACCCAACTACTCTTTAATCATCTGAGCACCTGAAAATTGTTTGGAGTAGATCAACATGGATGCATTGATCTCAAAAGAGACCATCTTAAAACATTAAAATAAAAAGAACCCAAAAGAATAATTGCCAGTAAATCAATCAAACCTCTATTGGGTGCTGATGGTATGATACGTTTCATGTTGTAAACCACAAAGGCCACAGTTCTGAGTGATTTCCCACATTGGAATCCTGCAGTGTCAGATGCAATTATAGAAAATTCTTTGGACCTTTTGAAGCAATATGAGCACCATTTTAATCCCAACATGCATCTCTTACTTGCATTCTGCACAGAGCCGATTAAATATGGATAGTCACCAGCAACTTTTAAAAGGATAAGATGGGTTAGCACTAATTACAGTACTACAGCCAACAGGACTACAACAACAACAAGATTCCATTTCACGTCGGGAGGACGTCCCAAGGCGCTGTACAGTTGGGTCAGGACCCGAGCAAGGGGGAAATGGTCAGGGTGAGGGGAGGGAAGGGAGGGAGCGAGGAAGGGGTAGAGAGTCGAGAGGGGAGCTGAAGGCTCGGTCAAAGAGAAAGGTCTTGAGACCGGCCTTGAAGGAGGAAAGGGAGGAGGCAAGGCGAAGGCACTGGGGGATAGAGTTCCAGAGCCTAGGGGCTGAGAGGCTGAAGGCCCGGCCACCGATGGTAGGGCGATTGGGTCGGGGGATGTGGAGCAGACCGGAGCCAGAGGAACGGAGGGTACGGGCATATAGGTAGGGGGATAGTAGGTCGGAGAGGTAGGAGGGAGCAAGGCCGTGAATGGCCTTGTAGGTGAGGATGAGGATCTTACTTCAGCAAGTGGTCTGTGCCTACCAAATTCATATAGAAAACTTAAAACTAAGGTTTTATTGCAGTTTCGGTGTTTACATGTGAAAGATGTGTCAAATTCATACAAAACATGAATTAAAAGGATTCAAACCACAACATGGATTCAAGACTGTTTGTGCAGGCTGCGGCTTCATAATGACTCTGTTCTACCACATCTTGCATTTGATATTGCGCCTGATCACGTTTTCGAGACGTCTCAAAGCGTTTTAAAGAATACACTGTAAAGTGAATTGACTTATATCTTATGGACAAAACACAGTAGCCAACTGTGCACAGCAGTGTCCCAAAACAGTCGTGGATTGAAGTGACCAATCGATTATTATTTTTTTTTTGAAGTAATTATTACCCCCGGAAAAGCGATCCGCCAATCGACTAACAACCGGGTTTCTACTGACTACAAGGTAAACAGAGATGCGTGGAGTAAGGAAACTTAGCCAACATCACGCCCTGCCGGGATCGAACCCAGTTCCCTCATTTGCAAGACGAGTGCTCTAACCACTGAGCTCCAGGCCTCCACATCTAGACTCTAAATCAACTCTTAGCTTCACCCATTTTGAATTCATCTTCCTTTCTCTGATACTCCTTTCAACCTTTATGGTATATTGAATATAGAGAACTGTATTCTCAATTGAGAAATGCTATCGCAATTAAAAATGTTATCACCCCAGCCAGAAGAACAGCGACAGCAGCAATAAAAATGTATGCGAAGCCAATAAGACAACTATTCCGGTTAGATCCCAAACCACTGTTAAAGTTAGGAGAATTTTGTGTGCCTTGGTCGCCCTACACGTAAAGTCCGGTAGTCGATCCGAGTCGCGCCGTAGTCCGCAAGGTCCGCACGTAACTCCTCTCCGATACGCTGCGTATCTGTTTCAACATGAACACAACCAACTCGGGCCACATCGGCCGAAGCTTCCAGACACGTCTTGTGAAGGCCGGAGCGGTGAGGGAAAAAGGGAAGGGTGCGGCGCATTCCGCAAATGCCGTTATAGTCGCATTTGAGTGCAGCTCATCCATCGCCTTTTGATCCGCGCGCTTTGACCGACTATCACAGGCTGACGGTCACTTCTGCAACCTCCCTTTTTAAAAAAACATTCGCCCGAAACGCAGCGAGAGGGAGAGAACACGCATTTAAAATAAAACAAAAACAAACAGGGCCGATAGGCCGGCGGTGCCGACGAAAACAAAAGAAAAAAGACGACGAGGCTCGAGCCTGAATAAAGAGCACAGGCCGCACCGGGAGAGGAGCCGCAGAGCCGCCCAAGAGGAAGAGGAGACGCCGAGAAGAGCCACTTCCCTCGTTCACTCACCCATCAATATCCTAACTTGCTTCTTGCCGAAGAGACGTGACATAAAGCCGGACAAAAGCAGCCCCATGGTGAGCGGTCGCTTTCCTGGCAGCCGCCGCTTTGCCTCTAACTCACTCGTCTCGTTCGTTCACGTTGCCACGTCACGCTCAGCCACGAGCTCCAACGCGGCCCGAATGACATCACCGACCTTTCCCTGCATGCACTGCGCTCGCGTCACATTAAGGTGCGTGAGAGGGCGCGGCCGTCACCTGCTCTCAGCCATCAGACAGCACAGCACAGGGGCTGTTTGCTTCTGTTGCAAATTGGATACAAATTGGACCTCGTGCTTAATTATTTTCGTACAACCGATTGCGCCAAATTCTTACTGCGTATATAATAATGATCCTCCCGTTTAGCACTGGTGTGACTGTTTTGTAGACAAACTTATATGTTATTATAATATACTCGCTGTAGTTCTTGGGGCTTTGCTTGCAACTGAAGCATCCGATATGGAATGTAGTGATTCGGTGATGATGGGTGCCATTTAATTTGTAGTCTCGTCTTGATCATAGTTAAGCACAGCTAAATGGAGTGAATGCTGGGCGTCATTTTGCCGTGCTCTTGCAGTCCCTTCAGCATTCAAGTCCAGCCGTGCTGTTCTTTACCAAAGTGGAACCTTGATCTGGCAATTTGAATTATTCACCTGGGCTCTCCTCCCTTTCGGCAAATATAAGAGCGAGACCCTCCTGCTTGGCTCCAGTCAGCTCCTCCATATCTCAGACACTAACAGCATCTCCCTCCATAGATGCACTGTACATCTCATGGAGCCAATATGGAACCATGGTGTCCTGTTCGACCCTCAACTGTCCCTTCATCTCCCACATCCATGCCATGACCCGCTCCACCTTTCCCCATCTCTGCAACATCGCTCAGCTCTGCCACTGTCACACACCGCAGGCTGTCGAGACCCTCAAACAAGCATTCATAATATCCAGGCTCGACTTTGCAAATTCCTACCTGTCGCCCCCCCACCCCTCCCAACTCCTCCCTCCATAGGCTGCAGATCATCCAAAACTGCAGCCTGTGTCGTCTCCTGCAACAGGCTCCACGACCCTCGCCCGACTCCACTGGCTTCCCATCACACAGAGGATACAGTTCTTTGCATTTTACCCACAAATATAGTCAATTCACTTTAGTTTATTCTGTGAAGCGCTTTGAGATGTCTAGAAGACATGAAAAACACTCTTATCAAATGCAAGTATTATTATTATAGTTCAAGATCCTGGTCCTCACTTTCAAAGCTCTCCATGGCCTTGCTCTCCCCTACCTCTGCAACCTCCTAACCCCTTAACAACCTACCAGCTACCTCCACTCGCCCACCCCCCCAACCTCTGCAACTCCATCCCGCAGTCCCTCTGCCTCGTCCCCATTGTTGTCTCCTTCAAGACCTGCTCAAGACCGTGAGAAATTCTTCGACCATGCCTTTGGTCACTCTCCTTCCCCCCACCCTCCCCGATCCCCAGCTCGGATTTGAAACACTGATTGTCTCGCGCTTTGGGACATCCTCCTAACGTGAAAGGCGCAATACAAATGTAATTTTGTATTTTGTTGTTATTTTCAAATTAGATCCTACAAAATTGTAATCCAGTATACACTGTGTAATCCAGTAGAAAGATGATCCAGTTTAAGACCCAGAAAAGGAAACAATTTATCAAATGTAACCATAGTATAACAATCTAAATATATTTTAGAATCAGTGTAAAAGGTGGATAGAAGGTATCCAGCGGATAAAGAACTTCCAATGACTAAAAAAACACTTCCAGTAATAAATAGCAAAATATTTATTTTGTCTGCTCACAAGTGGAAACTAAACAATTCAGCGTTTTAACAGAAAAGTTGAAGCATTCACCAGTTGGGAATTTGAAATGCAGATCAAGCAAGACAGGGTTTCAACCTTTGACACATTGGTGGCAGCTCAAAATATATATTGCAATCTAACGTTCAAAAAACAATCACATATGAATTATTAAAAATTGTAAAGTTTATTTTGTTAGAAATTATTGAGTCTCTTTACATTGTGCTTTGGCATAAAGTCATGAAGCATGGTCATATTTCTATTGATTAAAATTTGTCTGAATATCTTGCTTTTGATCTGAAAGTTACATGTCAGTTTATTAGTTTAAATACAAATAGTTGGTATTCTATACTGAACATTAGTTTAAGAATATCACTTTATATGAGAATAGACATTTTATATAAAAATGTAAGCATGTTAAAATATGCATCTAGAAAAAATACCACCAAAATTTAAAGAGCAACTATATCAATATTCTTGACATGATCTGCAAGTACAAATATTATTAGTAAAACTCCCTTGGTTGTTCTCCACAGATAGCAAATAAGATCTGGTCAAAGGAAGTTGGCTGTCAATAATGCAGTACAAAATTCTTGATTATTAAAATAAAGGTAGTCATTTCATACTTAAATGTATTCAGTTTCAACAGTGATTGTAAATTTCAACCTATTTTCTTTACCATCACATGCAATCACATATACCAATGAATCTTCTTAAAAGGCTCTGGGTAAAATTCACCTGGTAAATCAACTTTCATGCAATTTTTAACTAAAAGATTTTTTCGCCCTTTAAGAGTTTTTTTGTTTAATGCTGATCTGGAGTGTTTTATAGTTCTTTCTGGGAAAGTGTCCTTTAATAGCAGAAGAGTGCAAAGATTATGTTGCACCATTTTTTAGTAAGATGCTCTGCAGGTCCTCTGGCAGTGATAAAATAATGGCATCGATGTGCATTTGAAGTTTCTCCAACGTGTCTTGTTTTACAGGAAGGCACTGTTGCTTAGCCTGCATCTGAACAAACATAATACATTTTAAAAAATCGTAAAGAACCTTTTGTACATAAAAATGATAAAAGATTGAAGTTATCATAATAATACTTAAATTTGATATAGCACCTTATCTCGTAATTGAGACGTCTCAAAGTGCTTCAGCAGAATATACTGTAAATTATAACCATTCAATATTGAAACACATTAGGAAGTAACACAATGATGTAGAATTACAATTGCATATTCCCTTTTAGTGAGTGGTTGCCTCAGAAGTTAATTCAATATCCAAGAAGAAATTTACAGCTAATTCCAATCCTGTCCTCATCTGATTGTGGAGTCCTGTAGCTTTGTGGTTACAGCACTTGCCTCGCAAGCGAGAGGACCTTGGTTCGATTCCTGGACGGGGCAAAGCGTAAGGGATGTTTCCTTACTCCACACCCCTTTGGTTTCCTAGCAGTATATGGAAACCAGGTTGTTAGTCGATGGGCAGATAGCTTTTACGGGGGTAATAATCCTTTCAAAAAAACAAGAAAAATTAAAACATTTTTTATTCAATCCATGACTGTTTGTGGGACACTGCTGTGCGCTATTGGCTGCCGTGTTTCACCCATAAAATATAGTGAATTCACTTTACAGTATATTCGGTGAAACGCTTTGGGATGTCTCGAAGATGTGATAAGGTGCGATAAGGTGCTAAATGCAAGGATTATTATTTTTATTATTAACAAAAAAAATGGATATGGAACAGGAGGGAGAATGCACTCCCTTTAACCGGACCAATTGCTTACTAATATCTGTCCAAGACATGCATGAGCATCTATTGGGTAGCTGTTTCTGAGCTAAGAATATTCCACAACACTGTGCGTGGTAACAACTAGTATTTGTGTACCTTACATTCTCAGCCCATCATTAGGTTTTGTACTTACCAGTTTCTCTTTCAGTTTCAGAACCAAATCAACCACCTCAACCTCTGTGTGCTTCTGAATCCATATCAATAAATCCTGTATAGGAGAAAATAATATTCACATTATCCAAAAATGCTTACCATGGTTGCATACAAAATCTTAAATTTTGTTGCATCTGATCGTTCGTTTTTCTCTCACTAATATTTTATCTTTACCTCTATCTCTTTTATGCTATTCCCCATTTTGAGAAAGCCCAGGCCAAACATCAACCTCGATTAAACTTAGATTACTGTTATTGTTGTGCACAATTGGCTGCCACGTTTTGCCCACAAAGTATATAGTCAATTCACTTTACAGTATATTCTGTGAATTGCTTTGCGACGTCTCGAAGGCATAATAAAGCTCTATATCAAATGCAAGGATTAGTATTATTATCTGAATAGTTGCTCAAGGTAGCTCAAACACCTTTCATTGTTGCTCTGGTGATCACTTTGTAATTCACAAATAGCCTGGACAATCCCCATAGTGCAGGGTAACCTTGGAGAAAAACGTGACCAACAGCATGAAATGCCAACCAGAGCTGCAACTATAGTCTATAAACGCATAAAGACAGATAGCTCTAATGGCACATTTCTTATATTTTAAACAATTCTTACCTAAAACTGTCAAGCAGAATAATGTTCAATCAAAAATCTTTTACAACATTCCTTGACTGATAAACTTCTTGTTTTGGTTTTCAAATTCCTACCAGCCTTCATCTCCCAATGGCGATATTCCAGTTCTTTTGAGCCAGGTTTGCTGCTCAAATCCACTTCTTCCACTCCACTATTGGAGCTCAAACCTTCAGCCACCAAGACTCTTTCTTCTGAAACGCTCTTCAAGAACTACTTCTCCTTGTTACCTCTCTCCTTGTTACCAAAAATCTCCTGATGAAATTTCTTCAACTGTGGCTTAATTACCTAAATTCTTCCACTTTGTGCTTAGTTGCGCCCTTAGTTAAGATTTTCTCTCATAACAACAGTGTCTTTTACAGAAAAGAATGCTCTATGAGCATAAGTTGTCAGGTTTGACTACTGATACAACTTCCTTGTCACCAGTTATTAATCCTAGATATTCATTAGAACTAAAATGTAAACATACACACAATTTAAGCTCAAGTTTTACTTTTGTTGCCTTCAGTTGTACTTACTGCATTACACAAGGCCTCTAGATGCAAAGCTGACAGCTTTTGCGTCATTTCCTTCCATCTCAACCTGAACCAGCCGTCAAAATTTGGTGATTTCAGGAACTGCCTTAATGGAATGAAAGGCAAAACACTCATTGAATACCGATATGGAAAATGAAACCTACACTAAGAGGAATGTATGCGTTTTTTCCAGCTACATTGTTAACAGAAGTGTGAAATCAAATTAGCATAAAGCACAACCATACAAACAAGATTAAAATGTGCTCACCGTGCAATACACATGTTCATAAAGCTGTCAGAAGAGAACTGATGAACAACACACCTTTAGAAGAGCAACATCTATCTTATGCAGCATTGTGTGGATAACTCACAAAACACAGTTACACGTCTACCTTTCTTTTGGAAAAGGATGCATGTTTTGCCATGGCTTTATGAGACACTAAATGGTGTCCTATGTAGCATTTTGTACTGAGATAAATTTCAGATTTTATCCATTATTGGAGTTGGCAACATAAAACGTTAACTGCCCATAATTATTTAAGCCTCTATCAGTTGCTCGTTAGAAATTGCAAAAAATTGATGCCACAGGAAAGCAATATGAATTGCAACAAATAATCCTGTATCTGTTAAGTCCTACCTGTAAAGGCCTATCCAGTCTCCTTTTAGTCTAGAAGTGAGTTGTGGTCCTGCTTTTTCAAGTGTTTTCAAAAACTCTTCCGCTATGAAGGGCTTCAATTGAGGAGGGCTCTAAAGACACCATAGAATTAATAATAAAATACAATTGAGCATCACAGAATTAACTGACAGAGTGCAGCAATAAACTTTATTCCTCAGGGCTCTGTCCTTGGTCTCCTCCTTTTCAATATCTACACCTCAAGCACTGACAGCATCACCATCCAAGGATGCACACTAAGCCAATCCGGAACCCTGGCTTCTTGTTTGACCCTCAACTGTCCTTTCTATCGCACATCCGTGCAGTGACCCACTTTGCCTTCCCTTACCTCCGCAACATTGCCCTGCTCCGCCACTGTCTCACACCGCAGGCCGCCGAGACCCTCATACATCATAACATCCAGGCTCAACTATGTAAACTCCCTGCTTGTCAGCCTCCTTAACTCCTCCCTCTAAAGGTTGCAGATCATCCAGAACTCTACAGCCCATGTCCTCTCCTGCACCAAGCTCCCCCACCTCAACAATCCTATTACAACCATCCTCGCCTGACTACTAGCTTTCCATCACACTGAGGATAGAGTTCAAGATCCTGGTCCTCACTTTTAAAGCCCTCCCTACCTCTGCAACCTCCAAACTTCCTACCAACCTGCCCACTCCCTCCGCTCAGTGGGTTCTGGCCTGCTTCATATCCCCCGCCTTGGTGGGAGGGCCTTCAGCCACTCTGCCCCACCCTCTAGAACTCCATCCTGCGGTCCCTTCACCTCCCTTGCCTCCTTCAAGACCCTCCTCTTCGACCGTGCCTTCAGTCACCCTTCTTCCCCCCTGACCTCCACCCTCCCTGATCCCTATCCCCAGCTCAGGCACAAATGTAATTTTGTTGTTGTATCTAAAAAGACTATCCAAGTAATGAAAACTGAAACGGTTGACATAGCCTTCACTAACCTTCCACGGTGAAATACTTTTCTGTAAAGGCATTAAACTGGCTACATATCGTTCCTGGAATAAAATTTAAGAATCATTTAGTGAAACTGATGCTGCATTATTTTTCTTTTACAAAAAATGTATTTCAGCTTTGAAAGGTCAGTTGGTAAAGTCGCTTTACGTGTGAAACTGAATACTACTGGGATCCAGTCTGACTCAGCATCAATCTCTGCTCTATGCTTATCTGAGCAGAAAAAACACGACATTACAGTGGGTTACAGACGCGTGTAGATGTCAGTGTCTTTAGGAGAGATTTCCCTTCATTCAAACACTTGCTACTTTTTGACATATTTAAAAATGCTTAACTTTATCAAATTGGGAAAACTGAAAGCGTACAACTTTTAAAGAAAGGATAAGTTGGTTCCTAGTCAGATATAGATTGGCCAAAGTAATAAATCAAACAAAAGTTGGAAAAATCAACATCACATTTCTTGATATCACGTTAAGAGTTAAAGTTCCTAATTAAGTTCCTAACTTACCAAAGGAATGATGAAGCTTTGCGTCAATTCTAAGAAGTAGCGTCTAATAATTGCACTCTGTGCTTCTGATGGGCGCTTCTGCTGTATTCCCTGTAAAGATATAAGTAAAATGGGAATTGTTCTGAGGCAAGGGTTTGAAAATAATTGCTTTCTAGAAGAAACGATTGGATAACAAATAGATGTAAGAACTAGATAGGCCAGCCACCAAGGCACATAAAAGCAACACAAGAAATATTAGCTTCCATCAGAGGTACATATCAATTAATTTGACAAGTGTGTTAGAATTTACACTTTTTGTATAATGTTAGAATCATAATAGATGTTGCGAACAGGTTAACTTTTAAGTTAAGTGTGGGGGGCAACTGGACTGATACTCATGATTAACACTCAAGAGCAACAAAAGGCAACCCTCAAGAATAGCAGCTAACGAGTAAGTTGCTTAAACTAGAGGACCTTGGTACCATCCCGGGATACTGAAAAGAAATAACCAGTCACTTAAAAGGAATGTACTAATGATCCCACCTAACAAAATAACAAGCATCAGATAACAGGGGTCTTAAGGACAATGTGTATGTGTGCTGAGGCACGTACACCCCATGAGGTGTTCACGTGAACCCAGTATGATTTTGACCAGGTGATCTAATGTCCGCACCATGATTGGACGAACATCGGTGTAAGATAACTTTGTGTACCCCTATTATCTGATGCTTGTTATTTTGTTAGGTGGGATCATTAGTACCGATAACATCCCGGGTCGCGGAGACAAGGGTACGGGAGATGGGGCCATCCCGGGCTGCGGAGACAAGGGTACGGGAGATGGGGCCGTCCCAGGTCGTGGAGACAAGGGTACGGGAGATGGGGCCATCCCGAGCTGCGGAGACAAGGGTACAGGAGATGGAAGACAGAGCTAGAAACACTAAGACTGAGGATATCAGATGGAAGATTGAAAGCTGTAAGCAAGAAGACTGAAAGCATGAAGAATCAAGCTTGTGTGCTGGAAAGACACAGTGTTGAATTCGGGGTATCTACGGTGGTATTGTTCTGTTATAAGGTCTGTTGATTGTAACGGCCTTTGGTCTGACCCATCGGGATATTGGGAAATAACGAACAAATAATAATAAAACAGTCTGATATCCGGTTAAAGGAATTAGCGTTATTTCCTTACAGATTTGGCTGATTTTATCTTCTAACAATTTGGGATTCGGCAGGATACTCTGAATTAGTACACTCGGCAGTTGATGTGTTTATGAGTCCGGTACGACCGTAACTAGTAAATAGTTGGGAAAGTGGCCGTGGTACTCGCAGAAATTAGGAGTCCAGTAACACCGTAACTAGTAGATAGTTGGGACGGTGGCCGTGCCTGCGGGCAATTAACCGAGTGTATTAACCCATTGGGATTCTGAGTATTAAAGAACTAATGTAATCCATTCGAGCGAGTGTCTCTTATTTGGATTTTCTAACAAGTGTACTACCATTCTAATTAAGCTTTTCAATTATTACACAATTTAAGGCTAATTTTTCCAGGATAACCCTTAAATTTAGGTGAACAGAATTCATATTTTGCCCCGGTTATGAAATTTCCCCACACTCAAGGAATCAAATAATGATGGCTGCTGTGAGAAAACATTCACACAAGTGCAGGCAGGATTGTACTGAGAGTGGCACAAGACATTTAGAGGTATAACTTCAGTCTTGATCTGTCCATGCTAAACCTGATCTGAGACTGCAAGGTGGTGATTTTGATTACGCAAGTGCAAAAGTCAGCAATTCTTACCTTGCTCAGCAATAAATATTTTTCAATTTAAAAATGTCTAACAATTCAGTTGTTAAAACTTACCTTCTGCACTTGTTTTATGATGTCCTCATCACGGCTCAGAAATGTTTTGTAAGAAGTGTACACTCCTGCAGAAAAGAGGTCTATAGTTGCTACAGGGTAATCCCATTTTAAATGTCATTAATTAGAGCCCGTGTTACAATGGGTCCGCCTTTGACCTGACCAGTCAACCTTGACCACTCTTGTGAGTATTATTATAATAATAATCCTTACATTTGATATAGCGCTTTTCATGTCGGGAGGACATCCCAAAGCGCTTCACAGAACACACTGTAAAGTGAATTGACTGTATATTTGTGGGCGAACGCGGCAGCCAATTGCGCACAGCAATGTCCCACAAACAGTCGTAGATTGAAAATGACCAATTTATTATTGTTTTTGGTTTTGGAGGGATTATTATTAGGCTCTGTGTGGAGTAAGGAAACTTGCCCAAGGTTTCGCCCTCTGCCTGGAATTATCCTACTAATCTTTTAAAATAAGTTTAATAATACAGTGGGAGTCGGTTAGGCCAGACACATCGGGGATGGCCTCTTCCACTGTGCCTTCGGTCATCCTACCGCCACCCTCTCTGTCCTCCACACCTCCTGATCCGAACCCCCAGCTCAGTTGCGATCCCTGACTGTCCAACGCCTTGGGACATCCTCCTGACATGATAGGCGCTATACAAATGTGATGTGTTGTTCTTGTTTCCAGGGGTAAACAAAATACCATTACCGCTCAGCAGAGGAGCGCCACCGATGCCGTATAAAAGTATGTAATAATGTTGTTTCACTCAAAGTAAACAGTTAAAGTTAAAATCAGGATTCAGTAAAATATATTTACTTTGTTTAGCTGCAAAATACCAGCAGAGTGGCGGCGCTTCCTCCCTCCCATTGCCGTTCCCATTGGATGGGAAGGGGACCGATTACTGGCGGCGCTGAGGTGATTGGCACCCTGTAGCCGTTTGTGAATGGATGGGCTCCAGCCATTCACAAGCAGTTCAACTGTCAATCAATTGTGATTGTCCCTCTCTTGTTGTTTCCCATACCTCCACCCCCTTCACTGATTGACAGCACAACTCCAGCAGCTTGTGAATGATTGGAGTCCGCTGTCAATCAATTTTAGACTACTTCCTTGTGGCTCAATGGACACACAGAAGGCCCAAGTGAGTACAGAGGTGACCAGGGTAGCATTTTGCCTGGAGTAACTGGATTTTTGTCTGAATTAACCACCATATTTAAAACCGCTAAGATTACAAATGTTCGATTTACCTGACGTCCCAGGTTAACTAGCATCCGGCAAAAGCAGATTGCACTGTACTTCAAAAATAATAGTCCATTAGTTTAGAAGTTACTGGTGAAAACAATTTTTAACCTGGTTTAGAATCCAAAGTCTTCAAATTTTTCAGTTTCTTCACTTTGACTTGCTTTGGAATATCACCTAAAAGACAGAACCATAGAAGTCAGTTCTGAAGCATGAAACAGCTTAAGCAATAGGAAGAGGAAAAAGAGAAGCAACATCCAAAATGACTTAACAATAAAATGTTAGAGAAACAACTATTTAAAATGACTATTCTTACAATATTACATTGTATGGTGCCTTTCACGTTGGGAGATGTCCCAAGGCGCTGGACAGTTAGGGATTTGGATCCGAGCTGGTGGGGGGAGTTTGGGTTCAAGGAGGATGGAGGGTCGGGAGAGGGTAGGAGGGTGGCCAAAGGTACGGTTGAAGAGGCAAGGGAGGGAGCGAGGCAAAGAGAATGTGGGTTGGAGCTCCAAAGGGTGGGTCAGAGAGGCTGAAGGCCCGACCACCGATGGTGGGGCAAGTGGAGCAGGTCGGAGCCTGCTGAGCTGAGAGAGCAGAGATAAGGGTCACAGAGGTAGAAAGGGTGAGGTGGACCTTGAAGGTGAGGATGAGGATTCTGAACTCTATCCTCTGAGGGATGGGGAGCCAGTGGAGCCAGTTGAGGGGCAGATGGGGTCATGGAGCCTGGTGCAGGAGAGGACAAGAGCTGCAGAGTTCTTGATGATCTGCAGCTTCTGGAGGGAAGAATTTGAAAGGCCGATAAGCAGGCAGTTCACATAGTCGAACCTAGACATGATGAAAGCGTGAATGAGGGTTTCAGCAGCTTGAGGGGTGAGGCAGTGACGGAGCCAGGCGATGTTGTGGAGGTGGGGGAAGCCAGAGTGGGTCATGGCACGGATGTGGGGAGAAAGGACAGTTGAGGGTCAAACAAGTTGTCTGGATTCCTGACTGGCTCAGTGAGGTGGAGTGTGCATCCATGGATGGTGGTGCCTGAGGTGTGGAGGTGCTGACGGGAGCCAATCAGAGGGCCTCAGTCATGTTGACATTCAACCGTAGAAATTTAGCTCTCATCCAGGACTTGATGCTTGACAGACATTTGACAGACCTTCCCGAGTGGTCCTAGAATCAAGGGTGGAGGCAGGGAGATAGAGTTGAGTGTCATCTGTATACATGTTGACCCCATTTCTATGGATGATGTCACCAAGAGGGAGCATGTACAAGTTGAAGAGGAGAGGACCAGGGACAGAGTCCTTGGTGGTGGAGAAGGTTGGTGGTGGTTAGTGGTGGAGAAGAGGAGCCTAGAGTTGTCCTTGGCATCCGAGATTATCTTGGAGCAGAAGGATGATTTAGCGGAGGTGAGGGTGGGGCAGTAAGTTTGGATGTGGTCCAGCCAGATCTGCCGATGGACCGTTAAATTAGATTTGAGCCGGGTGCTTTCGGCAGCATGCGCCTGTGCCTTGAGGGTCGGAGGTGGCTGGTGTACCAGGGTGAATTGAGCGAGAAGGAGGTGGTTCGGGAGGTGAGGAGGAAAGTGCATTGAGAGTGGTGGAGAGGGGTTGTGGAAGAGAGTGACAGAGGAGTATAAGTCAGTGCAGGAGGAAGCCTAGAGGGGGAAGACTTCAGAGCAGCGGAGAGGGAGTGCGGGGAGATCTTAATCTAGGGGCGGCAGGAGATAGAGGTAGGTTGGGTGGCAGTGGGGAGAGGGAATGAGGAGTTAAAGGAGATGAAGTAGTGATCTGAGATGGCTTTGTTGGTGATGGTGAGGTCCAAGACGCTGTGGCCCGGGTAATCACCAGATCAAGCAGGTGGCCATGGACATGGGTGGCAGAGTGGATGTGGAGGGAGAGAAGTCAGCGGCGATAGAGCAAGAGGGGGTGAACTGCAGGTTGAAGGATGAGGAGGCGTTCAGAGCAGAGGTAGAGGGAAGCTAGAAGGAGGGGAAGGAACCAGAGGAATAAGCGGAGAGGTCAAGTGAGGACTTGGAGATGAGCCACACCACCACCATGGTGGTTAGGTCGTGGGGTATGGTGGAAGGTTTAGCCAGCTGGTGTAGTCTCAGTCAGAGGGAAGGTGTCGCCTGGGGTGATCAGGTTTCAGTGAGGGCCAGGATATCAATGTTTCCATCAACGATGAGGTTGTTGACTGCGAAGGCTTTGTTGGAATGGAAGCAGACATTTTGTAGGCCGATGCGGAGGGGACAGTTGGAGAGGAATGTGCGAGATGGTGGTGGGAAGATTGGCAGGAGGGGTAGGAATGTGGATGAGGGAGGAGAGGTTTGCCCTTGGGGTCTAGGGCTGGTGGACCTTACGGTGATAATTGGGGATGGGGCTGCTGCTGGACAGCCAATGCCGAGTACCATGGTGAGCCTGATGGAGGTTTTCCAGGCTGGAGCAGAGGGAGGCTGTGGAACGGTCAAGTGGGGAAAGGAGGTGAAGAGGATGGAGGGAGAGGAGGACAGACACGGAGTGATGCAGGGTAGAAGACAGGGATGGAGGCATTTTGGAGTAACCGGAGCATACACTTTCTATTAACATACACTATAACCATATAAAGTAGAGAACAGTATTACAACTAATTTATAAATCTGTTCACAGGTAATGAACTCTTCGAAGAATTAAAAATGTTAATTCAAAATACATGAAAAAGATTTTAAAATTAAATTCAGACCAAAATTAAACTGGATTTCAATGATGAGATATTTCCCTAAGAAACCAATGCAGTTCTGAATAAGAATACTTAATTATATTTACCTGCTGGTTTCATGTCTCCTATTCGGATAATGTGGGGCCAGTGCTGTAATGTTTTGGCAAAGAAAGGGTTGGTCACTCCAAGAATGACAGATGGTCTAAATGACAGGAAGGGTAAAATATTAACATAAAATAAGTAGACTAGCCAAATGCAGAGATCAGACATCTTAGATTGTAATAAAAGTACAAAGTCCCATAAACAGCATTGCAAATTAGCATTGCAAATCTACTTGGTTTAAGCATTAAACTATAACATGCGTGGATCTCTAATGTAGTTCCTTAATAAGAAAACTCGAAGTACTTCATGCTGCCTTGCAGAAAATCTACTTTGGCACAATCTACTTTTGGAGCGGACATCCACTGGTTAGTGTGATGTATGTTCGGTTCCAAAAGGAGTCTCCGCTTCGATTCCAATTAAAAACAAAACATAATTGTTTGTAGTACCTGAAAGGTGCACCTCAAAATCGTGTGATAAAATTGTTTTAAAACTGATAAGAAGTTGTACTCACGGGGCTTGCGTTCGGGTGGTGTACTCTTTGAATTCACTGTCGTGGATGGTGAAGTAGGGCCTGAAATCACTGCAGTATTTCAGTGGTAAAATGCAACTGTGGACATGAAAAATAAAAACTTATAAAGAACTCCAAATCATTTATTTCAACTGTTCAAAAGGATAATTGCAATAGATCACTCTATGTAGATCTTTCACATTGTAATTTTGTTGTTCTTCAATACGTAACTTATTTCTGCATTGGCAGAAAAAGAGGTGTCATGCACAAGTGTGGCTCAATTGGTTGTCCTCTCAAATCTGGGTTTAAGACTTACACCAGGAATTAAATTCAACAACAACTTGCATTTCTATAGTGCTTCATGTGGGTGTTGTGATCCTGCTTCATAACTGAAATTGTGAACATATGTAGTTGAAAGCATTATTTTGATTAATGGTTAAAAATAATGATGTAACTAGAAAAAGGTCAAGATTACTTGTTATTATAGCTAAAGATTGTTGAGGATGTCTGTCCATAGACAATTCATGTTTTAATTAGTGTTGTGAAGAGGTTTTCCCACAACAAATTCATGTTTGTGTTAAAGATGTTTTCTATAACAATTCAAGTTTTATAACAATTCATGTTCTTCTATAACAATTCTGCAGATTGTATTTTATTATTCTTTTTATGTGAGATAATTGCTTCATGGACGTGAGAAAGGAAGGATTGTTTATTCTTATCCTGCCTGTGGAAAATTGATTATAAAAGACGTATGGCTGAACGATACTTTGTTCAGCCTCGGACATAGCACATCAGGTGCTGTCCACATATGAGCCATGTGACAATATAAAGCTACAGGAGTCCTATAGCTCAGTGGTTAAAGCACTCGCCTCGCAAGCGAGAGACCTGGGTTTGATTATGGGCAGGGCGAAACCTTGGGCAAGTTTCCTTGCTTCTCATAATAGTCCCTCAAGAAAAAAAAACAATAATAAAATTGGTCACTTCAATCTACGACTGTTTGTGGGACACTGCTGTGTGCAATTGGCTGCTGCGTTTTGCCCACAAAACACAGTCAATTCATTTAACAGTATATTCTGTGAAGTGCTTTGAGATGTTTGGAAGCCCTATATCGAATGCAAAGATTATTATAATATTTTATTATTATAAAGTGGTGAAGCAAATATGTTGTTCCAGGGTTAAAATCCGTCAGACTTAGACTGTTCCATCAACTTTCATTAACTCCAGCTATTTCAGAAAGAAGGAACACTGCAGAAATTCCAGAACATCTGAAATAGTTTTAAAGATAACGGGAGAAGAATTACAACGTATAACAACTGTCAAGTAAAGTGCACAGATCAGCTGTCCATCATTAAATTCAACTTTGACTTTATGGTCAATTAAACCCCAGCAAAAGGTTTTGGGTGTGAATCAAGAAACTTTCCAATGATGCAAAACTTTGCCAGCTGTTCGGGACTTTCATCAACTGACTCCATCAAAGAAGCAAGATTCGGATGATTTATGGACAAAGCAATTATCGATTTATTTACTTTAATACAGATATTTGTCTATTCTATTGACTTGTCTGTTGTGTTTGTGATATTTGAACTAACAAACTTTGCATTTCATATTAAGTAAAGAAATTTTCAAAACACAAGTTGCTCGATCCCTCTAATCTCAGACTTCCGTCCCATTTCCAACCTACCCTTCCTTTGCTAAAGTCCTGGAACGCATTGTTGCAGGTCAACTTTGGTCACACCTCTCTCTCCACTCCCTCCTCGAGCCTCTGCAGTCTGGTTTTCGTCCTGCCCAGAGACAGCGTTCGTCAAAGTCACAAAAGATGTCCTCTCTATCTGTGACCAGGACTCCTCTGCCTCCTTGTCCTCCTGGATCTCTCGGCCCCATTCTACACAGTCAACTATGCCATCCTCCTCCACCCCCTCTCCTCCTTCATCCACCTTAGTGGGACCGCACTTGCATGGTTAACCAACTTAACCAACTGCCTCCATTTCATCTCGTTTCTCCTCCCACCCCCGCCCAGTCACCTGCAGTGTATGCCAGGGCTCCATTCTTGGCCTGCTTCCTTTCCTAATCTATATGCTCCCTCTGGGTGATGTCATCTGCAGACATGCGGTAAACTTCCACATGTATGCGGATGACATACAAATCTACTTTGCCTCCTCCAGTTTGGACTCCAGGTCCGCCGATGTTCTATCAGCTTGTCTGGCAGACATCAGGGTCTGGATGAGTGTAAACTTCCTGCAGCTGAATGTGGACAAGACAGAAACCATACTCTTTGGCTCCCGTCGACATCTTCACTCCTGCGGATCTAAACTCCTGAACCCTCCTGGGCTCTCCCTCAGACTCACTGAACCAGTGCGCAATCTAGACATCTGGTTCGACCACCAGCTGTCCTTCCTCCCACACATCCGGTCCCTGACCAGGACTGCCTTCCTCCACCATATTGCCGGCTTCCGACAGTACCTTACCTCAAATGCAGCCGAAACCCTCGTGCATGCGTGTGTCACCTCCTGCCTGGATTACTGAAACACACTCTACGCCGGTCTCCTCAGCTCCACTATTCAAAAAATCCAGCTCATTCAGAACTATGCTGCTGGTCATCCCCCACTCTGGCTCGGAGCTAGGCTCCGCCATTGTTAAGTGCTCTGTGACGCTACCCTGTGTGGAGGGTGCAATATAAGTGCAAGTTGTTGCTGCTGAGAGTCTTTGGTTCCTCTGTTCTCGGGTCCTTTATTAAAAGTGGGCTGAATAGAATAAGTGGGTTTTATTCTGTTCATTGCCCTGAACCCAACATCTCGGAGCGTTTAAAAATTCATAATCTAAACTGACACTCCAGTACTGAGGGAGTATTCCATTGTTAAGAGTGCTGTGCTTTGAATTAGATAGGCATTAGACAGTATATACCTACTGAGTTAAAGTAGCTTCAGGGCTTCTAGGCTAAGGACTAGGGTAAAATAGGAAAACAAATTATTAATAATTTACCTAACATGTAATTGGAAAATGAGCATAGACGGTGACTGAGAACAGCTGACATTTTATCTATGAAGTCTGAGTATAAAATTGCTACTTTACCAAACAAGGGTAAGGACGGTTTCAGAAGACTCAGCAGGTGATGGTGCCATAACAACAAGAGGTTCCCCTAATAATACAAGTTCCCAGAGCATCTGAATGTGGAAGAAGATTGGACAGAAGCACCTGCAAATGAAAATTTAAATAATATTTAACAAAGGTACTCTCCAGATGTCCACGTTGAATACTGTTAAGAAACCTTCTGTGGACGTCTTAAAAGATATCAGATGTGGAGAAGTAGTGCATTAGCACCTCAGGAACATCGTCTCTCAATACTTGATCACCCGGTTGCATAACTGGCATTCAGACACTATTTACTAGAGCTCTATGTAGACACTGAGAACTTTCGACAGAAAGCTGACACCCAAGCTGTTGACTCACATCACTCTACTTTAGTCATTGCTTTAATACAGCCATTTTGTAATACTTGCACACATTCAATTTCTAACCCCACAATTAACAGACTATGCTATTGACTTGGTTTTAATTGGTTATTCAAACTCTGAACAGATATCAGCAAAACAAAGGTTTCTCCGCCAATAGTTCAGGATTTTTTTGTAGCAATGAAGAAAGTATAAATGGTAACTTTTTGCATATTTTAAACTTCAGCACTAAGCTGTGATTTTACAGTGGCTTTGTGCCAACCTCAAGGTGGCAATGTAATAATAACTTGCAAATAGGGTATAAAGCAAGATTTTTTTACAAAACCTTCTGGAAGTTAATATTTCTTTGTGTGATTATGAAGGTTTTCAGATATTGAGAGTAATTGCCTTGAATTATTTTTGCATAAATGCTCACAAAGCCCAATTGACAAAACAAGCAAATGGCCAAAAAATAAATCTATCTTCTCTCTTCCTCATACTCATACACAGAATTCATCTTAACTTATTGTAAAAAAAAATTTCTCAGTTTTTCAACAATAGTTCACGTTAATACAAAACATTATGTTGAAATAGGTAACATACTTTGGGTAAAATAAACATTGGTCTTTTTAACATTTAGGTTACTGTATTTCTTATTCATTACACATTTTGTAATATTTACCTGAACATGTCTACTTCATGCATTGTAGGAAGTGTAATGGAGACTTGCGTGTCTGTCTGAAAGATTCATCAAGAACATTTCAAAGTTTAGACAATGAAAGCAAACATAAGAGATCGCCAGTCCTCCACAACCAACACCCCCTTCCACAAATTGTCAGGAAAATACATTAAAAATTTTGCCTTCATCTAGCAAAACAACAACTTGCTAATATGAAATAGCTTTGTATTTGTTTGAACACTACTTTTTTGGGGTGTATGAGGGCTTGGGAGAAAGGTGGTAGGAGAAATTGTTGAATGAATTTCGGGATTTAAAGAATTCTGCAATACTCTGCAAGAGGCAATTTTTCTCTATATTCTTGAAGACGTTTTATTTACATAACAAAAAGCTTTAAAAAAACTTTTTTTTTAACAAAAAAATCGCTTATTTTTTGCTTCTATTTCTTAAATTATCCAGACGCCTTCCTATGGAGTTTAAGGCCAACTCAGATCAATAAACTGCAAACTAATCTTCCCTAGTACTCTTCACAAAATCCTTCCTTACCTCGTCTGCAGATTGTACCATCTGTACTGCCCCAGGCTTGTCTTGCCTTGTGGGAATCCTAACCTATTAGTCATGAGAAATAAAGAAATACCAATGCATGAGAAATATATTCTAAACAGCTTCCAGAGCCACTTGTGCCCAGAATGGGTCAACAAGACCGTTTAAATATTTTTTAAGTTGATTAACTCTTCGCTATGCCTTTTAAAAAGAGCCCCTGAACAACAATAAAATTACTTTATGTATACATATTATATTCACTTCGGGAGGATGTGCTGTACAGTCAGATGTTGGGGCCCGAGCATGGGGGAGGGGTGGTGTAGGGGTGAGGGAAGGCAGAGAGGTCGAAGAGAAGGGTCTTGAGACCGGCCTTGAAGGAGGCAAGGGAGGAAGCGAGGTGAAGGGAACGTGGGATAGAGTTCCAGAATATGGGGGCAGAAAGGCTGAAAACCCGGCCACCGATGGTAGGGCAGGTCATGCGGGAGACATTGAGCAGCCTGATGAACGTTGGGAGCGGGCAGGTGGGTAGGGAGTCAGCAGGTCAGAGAGGTAGGAGGGGGCAAGGCCATGGATGGCCTAAAGGTGAGAACGAGGATCTTGAACTCGATCCCCTGGGGGATGGGGAGCAAGTGGAGTCGGGCGAGGGTGGGAATGATGGGATCAGGGAGCCTGGTGCGTGAGAGTACACAAGCTGTAGAGTTTTGGATGATCTGCAGCTTATGAAGGGAAGAGTTGGGAAGGCCGATGAGGAGGGAGTTCCCGTAATCAAGCCATGAGGTGACAAATGTGTGGGTGAGGGTTTCGGCAGCCTGAGGGGTGAGGCAGTAGCGGAGTCTGGCAATGTTGCGGAGGTGGTGGTAGGCAGTGCCAGTCATGACGCGGATATGGGGGAGAAAGGACAGTTCAGGGTCAAACAAGACAACCAGTGAGGTTGAGTGTGCAGCCTCTCTGCTCCCACACTCTGGAACTGATGCTGCCAGCGCCTGAAGTGCGGAGGCGCTGGCGCGAGCCAATCAGGAGGGCCTCGGTATTGCTGACGTTGAGTTGGAGAAAGTTGACCCTTGTCCAGGACTTGATGTCGTACAGGCAGTCGGTCAGGACCTCAGTAGGCCTGGAGTTCAGGGTGAGGCAGAGAGATAGAGTTGGGTGTCATCCGCGTACATGTGGAAATTTACCCCATGTCTGCGGATGACGTCACCAAGGGGGAGCATGTAGAGGGTAAAGAGGAGGGGGCCGAGCACAGAGCCCTGAGGAACACCGCACGAGACAGTGCGGGGGCTGGAGGAGAAACTGTTTGCCGTGACGAAGTGGTGACGGTGTCAAAGGTAGGACCTGAACCAGTCAAGGACAGAACCTTGAAGGTTGAGGTGGGAGGAGAGGCAGTGGAGGAGGATTGAGTGGTCCATGGTGTCAAAGGCAGCGGAGAGGTCGCGGAGGACGAGGAGGCAGATATCGTCACATCTGGTCACACATGGTCAAGATGTCATTTGTGACCTTGACCAGAGCAGTTTCCATCCATGGGCAGCACGGAAACCCGATTGGAGGGGTTCATGGAGGGAGTGAGAGGAGAGGAAAGAGCGAAGCTGGGAGGCAACGGCTATCTCAAAGACCTTGGATAGGAAAGGGAGATTTGAGATAGGCCGGTAGCTGGATAGTTGTCAAGGTAAGGTTTTTTCAAGGTGGGGGTGATAGTGGCTGTTTTGAGGGGGGAAGGAACAGTCCCGGATGACAGGGAGAGGTTAATGATGTCGGCGAGTAGTTGGCAAGGAGGCTGAGCTGGGATTTAAGGAGAGGGGTGGGGATGGCATCAAGGGAGCAGGTGGTGGACTTCATGGAGGTTACCGTGTTGAAGACAGAGGAGGGGGTGACAGGTTCAAAGGTGTGGAAGGAGGGATGGGTAATTGTCAGATGGGTAATTGTGTGGGGTGAGGGTAGGGAGGGGGTAGAAGTTGGGAGGGCAGTGGCAGCTGAGTGGATTCCCTCGATTTTGGACTCGAGGAAGTCCAGCATTTTCTCGCAGTGAGAATTGGAGGAAAGTATCTGAAGCCAAGATTTCTCTTTACAATTGTAGATTTAATCAATTTATAATCATACCTTTATAACAACCCCCATTATGGGAAGATTTAGCAACTTTCCAGAAATTGGTGCAGGCCAACGATCTAGGTCATTGCAAGCTGAAAGAAAACAAAGAATAAAATAATCCTTGAATTTGTTACAGCACCTATAACAGTGAGAATGTGGTTCACACAGTTTCTCTGGAGTGTACTGACGTTTCCAGGGGTCTAGTGCAATTCCAGGTGAACACAGGAGTCAATATATGCCCTGCAAATAGCCATGAAGAAAATGACTAATTTTATCTGGAGGACTGTGGCTTATCCACCAGAAGACTCCCTTCTATTTTTGAATAGTGGCATGAGATCTTTATTGTCCACTGAACAGGCAGACAGAACCTCAGTTTAAAGTCTCATCCAAAGCACAGCATCTCCGACAATGTGGTGCCCTGGAATGTCAGCCTAGAGTATGAGCTCAAAGTCCTGACATGGGGCTTGAACCCACAACCATCTGACAAGATCAGTACCAACTGAGTCAGATTGACAACAAACAAACAATTTTACTGCTGTAATTAAATGTTTAAATTCAATGAGCATAACTGTGTACATATAAATCAATGCAGGATATTTCCCCTTCATTTATTGTTAATTGCTAGATACTGCAAAACATTTTAGCCAAAAAAAGCTTATTTGATAACTTGCTGCTATTTTAAACAGTCAATGGCAATACTGTAACACTACAATACCAATTAGCAAATGAATAGCACCATAAGATTCTGACACCAAATGGTGTTCCTCCACTGTGGTGCAGAAAATGACTCCTAAGAGCAGTACCTTCAGAAGTCACATGCATCCTTACAGATATTGGAAGGCAGATGGAAGTCAGTAGTCCCTGTGCTGCATCTTTTTTGTACTTTCTAGAGGATAATTATAGGGAGCAATGGCACAGTCACTAACCCAGCCAAGGAATAGCTACTGGTGATATGGGAGAGGAGATGGTAGAATAGAGGAGAAAGGACAAAAAGAGAAGTGATACTCACCAGCTTCTAAACACGGTTCATTCTTGTCAAAATATTCTGGTGCAATGAGCTTCAACAGGGAATGGAAAAAGTTAACGTAGGGAAGTTTACTGATCAGGACCAGAGACTGCAAGAGAAAGAACCACTATAATAATAATAACTCAGGTTCTGTTTTAGATAGTATGCAGGTATGAAACACATTTAAAAATACGACCAATCCTAAATTAAGGTTCAGATAGATTCCCTTTGGATATTAAAGTTGGATTTGTTGATCTTTTAAAAAAAATCTAGCAGGGTGTACACAGGTGTGAAAAAATTCAAAGTACGTTTAAAGATGAAACCTGTTTTGTAAGATTCCAACTTCACTCATCCTGCACCAGTTACTACTATACTTCAGAAATTTGAGTCACAAAAAGCTAAAAATATTTAGAATGTAATACACTTAATAAACTAACAAAAAGTTTCCTTCTGTGCCATTACTTTTAAATAAATTCAAATTCTGAATTTCATTCTCATATTTGGTTTTCTAAATTGTATATAAATCTCACCCTTGAAACCATTTAACATAGGCGCAAACACCTCTCTGTTTGTTACCTCTCATCTTCCTGGGCCCAGATTAACATTGTTTTATTATGTCACACAAACCAGATACATTTTAAGAGCAAATTATTGAAGTAAGATCTCCAGGGAAAGTTAGATTTTCTATGCTGAAACTGCAGATTAGAAAACTTTGGAAAGGGTTGTTGTTTCCTTTTTTTCCAAAATAAGATGCAACAGCAGTAACACAGTAAGAACAAATCATATGTTCCATTCACCACAGAGCTGGTACTCGCTACAGCAAAGAGTACACAATAGCAAGAGAAATTTACCAGTGGGAGAATTTAAATTGAAGATTATTTTTTTAAATAATCAATTTTTAGCATTAAGGAATTTATCAGTGCTAGAGTGCTAAGTATGTAAAGGGCTATTAAAGTCGTTTCAGGATATAAGCATGGACACTGAAAAAAAAATGAATTTGGGTTTTAAAAATAAAATTTGGGGGATTCTTTTTAAACCAACTGACTTTTGATGAAAAATTGCATGGGTAGTTGCCCATGCAAAATACAACTTTAATGGTCATATGTGTGAATTTTATATCAAGCTTCTACACTGAAGTCGGGTTGTGTGCATGGAGTACTGTATTAAGCATATTACTTTTCAACACTTGACCTCTTTAAAGGATTATACTTGCTATTCAGACTGTCAGAATTTATACAATCAGATGATGTTCATACGTACATAGGTGCATCTATATAAATAGCCTCATGCTGGATGCCATTTAGTTTCATTCAGTAACTTCTTTGGGTGAAGAGAACTCAGAAATTGTTTTTTTTTTGCAAATACTTGTGCAAACTGTGTTGTACATTCTGTGTTTGAAGTTTGCTACAGTGTAATTTCAGTAAGTATGCTATCTAGATCACGTTTGGCCTGATTGTGTGTTCTATTAGCTTTGGTTGAATTAATAATATACTCTAAAACTAAGCACTAAAAATACATGTTCACACATAGGATATTCAGACTAATTAGTTTTCACTCATTCTGGGTTCCTTCTCAAGGGTGACATACAACTGGCAACATTTAGGACTTTTTTCAGCTGCAATAGACAATTAAACTTGCTGGATAAGGAATCATTAATATATACATAAAGTAAATCCTTCAAAGGATCAATGATAAGTTATCAACTGTTGTACTAATTAGTAATTAGCGATGTTTTTCTCTTCTCTTTTTCTCTTTGACCGTGCCTTCAGCTCCCCTCTCGACTCTCTACCCCCTCCTTGCTCCCTCCCTTCACCCTGACCATTTTCCCCCTGCTCGGGTCCTGACCCAACTGTACAGCGCCTTGGGACATCCTCCCGACGTGAAAGGCGCTCAATAAATGGAATCTTGTTGTTGTTGTTGTTTTGCAGATGCAATTCAAAGAGTTTAACATATGGTATGTTGTTTGTCTTGTGTTCATTAAAGTAGCTGAACTTTGGGTTACTTGGTGACTATTTTATATTTTCAATTTTAATTCCTTTGATTCTATGATTATTAAAAGGCACAAGTTCCAATTTTTTAGTCTAACAATGATACATTTCAAACTTATTTCCTGTTTTTCATTACTTTGACAAAACAAGATCTTGACATAAAATCTCAGGAAACTCAAATACCTTTTAAGATATTCCAAGTTTCAAAGGTTTTCAATCAGACTTAAAAAATAGGGCACTTTTAAAATCACATGCAGACCAAGCTGGATATTGAGAGAGATATCCGTCATTTTTTACTATTCTCTATATTATATCCATTTGGAGTTGCTTGAATCTAAACACAGCAAAATTAAATGTCTGAATAGGTTACAGGTCATGCACTTCAACCTAAAGCAAAACTGCAGCAAAAGTATTTTAAAATCAGAAGTAATTTAAACAATTATCATTGTTTAAAACAATTCTCTGCACCACGCTTCAGAAATTAGGGCGACAGGCAACTTAATCTCTGACCTCTGCAAGCAATAACTGATAGGATTAGTTGCAATGCAGGAGCTTGTGCTCCACACTCAACATCTTGCCTCCACTGAATGCTATCCTTGATCTGGTCAACATTAAGAACTGTTGGCAAGCCCAGTCGCACATGTGCATCCTTACACTAAAACCTACAAGCTCTTAGAGTTCAGTTATAAAAAAGTTTTAAAATTTATTATCAATTCAAATCTATGCAGAATTTTAGGTTTTATACAGAACTAAACTTTTGTACCAAAACTTTCCTTATACGAGTCTATAGAACAAACGCAAATGTAATAATTTATAAAGACAGAAACTGAGCATTTCATAAAAAATGACGTACAACTACACTATTTTATATGTTGTAAATAATATTTAAATATATTTTAATATTATAAATGTAACATTTTAAATATAGGTTTCTTACATATTTTAATAGTAAACAGCAACAACAAGATTAGATTTGTACAGCGCCTTTCATATCGGGAGGACATCCCAAGGCGCTGGACAGTGTACAGCATTTCAGACCTGAGCTTGGGTCAGGGAGGGAGAAGGGAAGGGAGGGGAGGGGGAGTGACCGATGGCATGGTCAAAGAGGAGGGATTTGAGGCGGGACTTGAAGGAGGCTAAGGAGGGGGCGAGGCGGAGTTATTGGGGAATGGAATTCCATTCCATGGGGGCAGAGTGGCTGAAGGCTCTCCCGCCAATGGTGGGGCAGGTGGGTTGGGGGAAGTGGAGCAGGCTGGAGCCGGCTGAGCGAAGGGAGCGGGTGGGTTGGTGGGAGGTGGAGCAGGCTGGAGCCGGCTGAGCGAAGGGAGCGGGTGGGTTGGTAGGGGTTAGCAGGTCGCAGAGGTAGGGTGGGGCAAAGTCATGGAGGGCTTTGTAGATGAGGACCAGGATCTTGAACTGGATCCTCTGAAGGATAAGGAGCCAATGGAGTTAGGCAACAATGGGGGAGATGGGGTCACGGAGTTTGATGTGGGAGAGGACACGGGCTGCAGAGTTCTGGATTATCTGCAGCCTGTGGAGGGAGGAGTTGGGAAGGCCGACAAGCAGGACGTTTGCATAGTCGAGCCTGGAGGTGAAGGCGTGAACAAGAGTTTCAGCAGCCTGAGGGGTGCGGTAGTGGCAGAGTCGGGCGATTTTATGGAAGTGAGGGAAGGCAGAACGGGTCATGGCTTGGATGTGGGGAAGAAAAGAGAATTTCTTGTAGTAAAGTGCACTTTACGCAATAAATACAGTAAAAACTTTACAACAATGTCATTTAAATTTGTAGCAATGAATGTTTTCCAATATTCTACTGGAATTTTAGATTCAGAAACTTTAGTCACACGAGCTGTCAATAATAGGACTTTATGAATTTCCACAAAAGAAGTTTAATTAAGCACAACTGAAGTATTTGCATAATTCTCTTGTAATTTTTTTACAAAGAAATAGTAACCGATGATTGACATTGACCTTCAAAATGATTCATGTGCAGAGTTCAAATCAAGTCATTTTCGCTCAAGAGAAAAAGAAGCTAAAGAATGCTTTTACCTTTTGAAAATAGCCTCTCTTTAAGGTTTTGTCACGAACTTGCCTAAAATAAACATATCCATAGTAGTGGGCAGAATCTTTCTATAACAGAATAAATGAAAACATTAGGAATGCAATGCAGCAACAAGAACTAATAATATAAAAAAATGACTACCTACTAAAATGACTATTCTTTGTTCCATCTCTGATAAACTCAATGAGTTACTCACTGTTTGGAGCTGATAGGCCAGACAGAGTAACCCACAATTCTGCTTTTACAATTGTATGCTCCATTTTTTCTATGTGTTGCCCTCCAGTAAACACTTCCCACAACAGAACTGAGAACAGAAACTCACTGCATAGAGCTGTGGCTGTAAATCCACCTCCCACCACTCTATTGCACAGCGTGTTTGAGCTCCCATATGCGGCACCCACTGTGACTAGCTCTCATTTTAGGAGGAACCCTATCCAATATAAACAATAATTACAAACAAAATCGACTGCCAAAAACTAATCATCATGTATCTTGGAGAAACACAGCTTTTAATAGTGCAACTTTTCTCCCTACTTATGGGATTCAATTTTGTTTTCTTTCCTGCTGATACATTTGTGCCCAAATTTTACCTTGAAAGTGACCTCAAGGTGACGTACGTCGCACAGAATAATGGGGTGTAACATACTAATATATTAACAAATGTTAGTATACGTTCCTACAGCAGAAGAGAAGTTCAGAAAATTCAAGACTGCAATGGCTGAAAAAGGTAATCTAAAGCCTAAACATAATTTCAATGATAGAAAGTAACAAAAAAAGTAAGAGTTGTGTGAAAGGATTAATCAAAAGGAGTATTAGAGAAGGAGTATAAGCGACAATTAGATGCAAACAGTAAGCAAGATGCAATGAAATGTTCTATCAATTTATTAATGACGTGTTCTACACAAGTCCTTCAAGGAAGACTAAGACAAAATAATGTAAAATATCAGAAGAGGTGTACAGTGGCACATGTGTTGCATTGATTTTTCACAAATAAGGACTGCAGTCAGTTTTCATCCAAATAGCACGGAACATATAAAGAGTGGTCAGCAGGTTTCAAGAAGCAATAGATCCTGCCTCACAAACCTAATTCAACTTTTTAAGGAATTAATTGCAGTAAAGGCTACTCAGTAGATTTTTTTTTAAAAAATGGGCATTTGGTAAAGTTCCACACCCAAGCCATTAAATAAAGATCCTGGAATTAACTGCAAATTATATAGTTGGATTGAAAATTGATTCAGCAATGGGAAGCAGAACCTGTTGATAAATGGAAGGCAGTGACAAGCAGAATCCCACAACCGTCTATTCTATGTCTTCTGTTGTTCACAGTTTTCATAATATCTTGGAGAAAAGGACTTTTTGCAATATTATAAAATATGCTTGGACAAACATAAGGAGCTTCACTATCATTCATGATGTCCTGGCCAAATTTAACCGACTGAGTTTAAAGTAGTTAAATGATTTTAGGCAAGAAAGGCCAGAGAACGTTTTTTTTAAACAAAACGTAATTCAATTCTTCTTTTAAACATTGGCCATTTCCTATATGGGGAAAAGCTCTCAAATGATTTGCGAGCTCTTGAATAGGGACAATCTGCTCTAATGAATCTCTTGACAGTCAGCTCAAAGTGATTCTGGCAAAGGATGGAGAAAAGCAGGTGAATGCATCCTTCACAACAATTTGCTATCCACAAGAGCTGATAAGATTAAATATGTTTCAATTAAAAAAAAGTATTTCACATAACTTGAATATCCTTTGTGAAATTACACTTTTCATTAAGATAAAAACAAGTCACACTGCATTTTCATTAGTAAAGTTTTTCTCAAACAAACCTTGTCTAAAACTCCATGCCCACATTTTTCATATGGTGAGACTTGGAACTGAACAATTTATCAAGAAGTAACAAACACAGGGAAACTCTTTAAGCCCAATTTGCATCTCTGACTTTGCTCAGTTAATCTATAGCTAAAACAATTTTATATAAAGCCTGACAAGTTATATGGACAATTTATTCAACACAACTTCCTTTGCAGTTGTACACATGCAATTCAAAAAAATGAGGTAGAAATATAAAATTAAAAAGGGCCCCCATTCAGTATGTATGTATACAACAACTTGCATTTATAGTGCTTGACAGTGGCGGAGTCTGACCCCGAGCCAGAGAAGAGAGGGAGGTTAATGTAAGCAGAATCAAAAGGGAAGATCTTTAGGCGGGATTTGAAAATGGGAAGGGAGGGGGCAAGCCAGAGGGATTAAGTTCCAGAGTTTTGGGCATTCGATGGTGGAGGCTAGATGAGGGACAAACAGGAGGCCGGAGACAGCTGCAGGTGGTGGAGTGGTGGGGGGTAAGCAAATTGGATAGGTAGGGAGGTGCAAGGGCATGAAGGGATTTGAAAATGGGTGAGAGGATCTTGAAATTGATACGTTCAGTAATTGGGAGCCAGTTGAGCCTGGAAAGGATTGGTGTGATGTGGGTGTGGAGTTTTGTGTGGGTGAGGATCCAGGACGCGGAGTTTTTAATTAGTTGAATTTTGTGTATGGTGGAGCTGAGGAGACCAGCGAGGAGGGTATTGGAATAGTCCAGCCAGGAAGTGACGAAGGCGTGGATGAGGATTTTGGATGTTTTGGTTGTGAGAAGGGACGGAGGCGGGCAATGTGACAGAGGTGGAAAAAAGTGGTCCTGGTCAGGGAATTAATGTGGGGTAGAAAGAAAAGCTGGGGATCGAACCTGGCGCCCAAGTTGCGCACAGGTTCAGTGAGTCTGAGTAGAAACTGCAAGGTATTTGTGTAATTCACGGTTGTGTAATTCATTGTTATTTGTTGAAATCACTTGAGAACTACTTCCGAGTAGTTTGGGATTCTGAACGAACCATAATAAAAATACCGTTGAATTTTCTTAACCTTGTCTCATTCGAGCTCTCTGTTAATTTTCAATATAAGAGGGAGTAACACAAACAGGTTCACCCTAGGTCACAGAGGTATTTAAAAATAAACTTCTGATTGACTGAAGCTTCCCAGTTTGCATCGATTAACAACCTATCTGGTACAACTTGTTTTGTGAAACAAACTCAATTAGCAAGAAACGCTTAGCGATGAGCTTTTGATTAGAGGCCACTCAGTACACTCTGTGAGAGGGGAGTGAGCCATATCATAGAGATACAAATTAAGGGTGTCGAACCGTCCGTCTCAGAATCAGCACTCAAGATGCTCTTTCAAAGCCATGTAATTAGGCATTTGACTCCCTGCACTGGCCCAAGCATACTCCATCTAATGCACATGTGAGGAAATTTTTGTTTTTATTAAAGCATTCATAACTTGATCACTTCGTCAAGTCGGTCTCAAGAAGCAGCCTCACTTCATAGTGCCTCAGTACTTGATTTCAGCTGCAGCTCTGTATTCCACACTAGTGCCCTGGTGTAACTGTACATTTTATTGCATCATGATTTCAAACTCTGTGTGCTATTTCAGCTGACAGATGAGCGAACTCTGCTAAATGAACATTTTAGAATTGTAATCCAAGACATATTGTCATCACCAACATTTATCCAGCAACAAAACCAAACCAAATGAATATAGCATAAATTCAGAATCAATTGTAACCTTCAAGTAAATAGGAGCATCTCGATCATATTGGTCCAACAAGAAGTCAAGGGAGGTCTTTCTGCCAGCTGACTGACGGATTCTGAAACAAAACTGTGTGTCTCCAAGGCAACCTATTGATGACAAATGAGAAGAGAATTGAATCAAATACAAATTCTGCTGTTGATCATGTAAAAACAGGAAATAGTCCAGACTACTACAAAGGAAGGGATGTAAAATTAAGCAATGCTGTCTAATTTATGACTATAGAGTTATGTTTACTTCTTGGCTTCACATATCCATTTCCTAATGTGAATTCACACTTTTTGAATGGGTGGGGGGAGGGCATGCATCAGCAAATGGATATTTTTTATGTATTGTATATGACAACATCAAGATGAGCACATCAATTTTGGGGACACTATATTGGTTCCAGTCATTTCATCACTGTGCAGTCTTGCTTCTTTGATGGTATTTGAGAGCGACATCCAGACTTGATTTCTTGAATGATCTCCTTGACAGCTTTCATAGCTCAATCTTTCACACAATCTAGATTATCCAGAACTCTACAGGCCATAACCTTTCCCACATCAGGATCTGCACTCTCATTACCCCCATTCTCACCGGGCTCCATATTCCCTAGAGCATTTCCTTAAAAGTCCTCATTCTTATTTTCAAATGCCTCCTCGGATATATCTCTGTGAAGCACTTTGAAAGGTTTTCCCACATGAAATTTACTATAGAGGTGCAATGTGTTATTGTTAACTAATCAGTGGTAGTTTGGACATCATTTTAAAAACACAGATTACTACTAATCACTTTAAACTGCATTTATGATTGTTTTGAATCCAATTTCCTTAAGTTTTCTCTGGTGTGAAAATACATTATTTCGATTTAGTTATTGCACTTCAGTTCAATAATACTTCAGTATTAACTCAAATAATACAAATTCTATTGGACATTTACAATAAAGAAAGCATGTGCAAACTATCATAGCTGATTGTTAAACTATTACAACTTATTGTAATGTACAAGCTGTGACTGGCTCTATTTATAATATTTCTTCATGCACATTTGAGCAAATCCTTAAACTGTAAAAATCACAAGTATGTTCAGACAAAAATGGCAAAACACTTCAATGGAAACATAATTAAGCTTTTTATAAGTTGCCAGAAACTATTTCAACACAATGCAATTTATTTTATACCAGCAATGATACCTAATGCTTTTCCCTTAAAATATATACTTAGCTAAAACATTTTGATTGTTTTAATCTGAATATTTATAAACTGTAGTCGAGTCACAAATTCTCAAATAATAGTAGGAAACTTTCCCTGAAGATTAAGAATTCTATATTAAAGATGTTAACAAGAGCAGAATACATGTAATTTTCAAAACGCAAAATACTGCAGATTCTGGAAATCTGAAACAAAAACAAATTAAATAAAATTGAAAATTACATGAAACAAAAACAAAAGTGGGTGGGAACAATCAGCAGGTCAGGCAGCATCTATGGAGAAAGCAAAGTGACTCAACGTTTTGGGTCCATAACCCTTTGCCAATTCTGAATTGCTTTCAAAAGAACTGCAAAATTCTCTGGGATTGCATAAGCAGAGTGCATCCATCTGGGAAGAGAATGTGAACCAGACATGTGGACATCATGCATATGTGGCACTCTCAATCATTTATTTGGCTTGGAGAGTCTTAAGCATGGTGATGGGTTTTTATGTTTGTCTGACACCTGGCGGACAAAAAAACAACAATCGACCTCTTGATTTAGATTCAGAATGACATGCGAATGACGCTGTGAACGTATGGTCCAATTCATGCAGAGAGGAATATATTTTAACACAGATGGCAATCAACCCTAAACTTCCTGAGCTATACCTCCTGTAGGGGAACTACTTGTAATTCATATTCAATTTGAATTTAAGTAACCTGTTTAATCTGATTCATTTAATTTAGGGCTACATTTTGCACAAGTTTGATCTGAAATGATTTGTTATTCTTTTATTGGAAAAACAGGCCATTCAGCAAGTATCTGTTAAACCAGAGATGTGTTTTCTCCTCTTCTCAAGGTTCAAACTCTAACGGAATACAGCTTCATTGCTGAATTGAATTTTGTCCTAATTTAATGCCCACACATACGTATTTTCCAGGAGACACCACTGAACAGTATTTTATGTATACTAATCAGGTATGCAAAAGCCGTTTCTGTTATTGAAAACATTGAAAGTACTTCCATACTCCAGTTAACTCAGCCTACACCAGGGATTGAATCTGGAAGCTTCCAAAAAGAAAAATGTTTATCAGCAAAATTACCTGAATTGGAGTCTGGGAAGGACAGGTAACAAATACTGGTTTTCTGCAAGAAAAATAAATGCTTTGCTTTTTAACTGCACTATAGCTGTTGCAAATATATTTTCAAACACTGGTTTACAGAATATTATGTACCTCTTTGTCAGAAAGCTTTGCATGAGAAGGATATATCACCTAGAGGGAAATAACCAGAAATATTATGTGAATGCCATATTAATATTGCTACAAAAACATATACAATCATAACAAAATAATAAAATAATAACAAAATAGATATGTCTTTTGCTGTTGCCATTCTAATCATGCAGCAATCATTCATTGAAGTTGTTGGTTAGCCTACGGAATCACAAAGAAAAAACGGTCTTCTCCCAGAGATAAGATCTGGAAGTAGTCTTGACATGGAAAGGATTGAGATAAAAGCAAGCAAATATAGTGTTTTTTATGCTTGGGTGCACCTTATGCACAATAATTTGATTTTATTATTGTAAAGAACCCAAGCAAAAATAATTTGACAATGAATTAGTCATGCCGATCAATTCACAAGTCACAATTTCCCATAATGTATGGGAAAAAACTCACACTATATTAATAGTTGATACGAGAAATGGAGGAGGGGGAAGCGGATAGAATCAATTGTGCAGTATGGCATGTTCTGAGACTGGGTTTAAAAAAAAGTGGAATAATGTTTCATATTCAGCACAAAAATAAATCAAATCTATTCCATTTCACATAAGAAAATAAAGGAAATAGATAATTTGTCTGATACAGTATTTGAATAAAATGCATTTAGCATTGTAAACATGTTACAATTCTTACAATTGATTAAGTACTGTATTTCCCATATAAATTAAATTTCCTAGATCAGGTTGCACTGTTGTAGCAGATACAGAATCATGCATCATTTGTCACAAGGAATAAATACTGTACAGTGTGATGCATTTGGTCACTTTCAAGGTAAAGGCTGAAATATTTTAGCATAAAAGTCGACAGGTGCAGGCTTTACAATTCCTTCCAATGAAACATATTTATATACGCTGAAATGTTATTTCAGTTCTTTGGCTGGGGGAATGCGTCAAAGTTATTTATAAATGTCTATTTAATCATTTATAGTGCACACTGGACAAAATTTCTGTGTGATCAATTGCACAGTATTGGGTTCTTAAACCTGTAGTAAAATGCTACAATCTATAATCATCACGTATAAATATTCTTGCACATGAATGGATAGACAACTTTTCTCAGGTACAATGTTTAAATGGGACTTTGGCTTTGCTCTTGCAGTTATGAACTTCCCGTTCTCTTGGTCATGTTAATAGGCATTCACCTTTCTACATATGAACTATTAAATATTAACTGTTAATTTTATATTATGTAAACATTGTTTAAAACAGGGACATTTATGATTTTAGGAGAAAATGCATCTTTTTAGAAATAAAATTCACAGAAAATAATCCCAGCACCCACATTTGCAGTTTTACTCACTATTTGAAATAAACCAATACTTTAAAAAGGAAATGTTATTATTAATCTACAAGATATTCCAAAAAAAGTCAATACAAAATATATGGGTCAACAAGTCAATGTTTTTAAATTTCCTCATAGTATTTTAAAATAACGCTTGTGATGCTACATAAAAACAAAACATGTAAATCTTGCATGTAATGGAATCTGAAGAAACAATGAAAATAGATTTCTTAAAGCAACCATTCCAACAGTAGGGTGATCCATCAAATTAGTTTCCTGTCAGGCTTGGAAATTTCCTATTCTTCACTATTAACTCTGCCAGATTGCTTAGCTGCATTTGAAATAAATTAAGTAACATCATCTATACCCTTAATATTAAGAGCTGCACTATGGGAATTAGTTTTTGTTTGTTATGAAGCTACACTGCAAATACCATAATGTTCAGATCAATCCATATGAACAAAACACCAAGGTGCTTTTACACTAGTACTCAGAAGTGAAAGTTATTACTTTGACTAGAAAACACCAATATTTAGACTTTTCCATTTCAAATTTGGGTCAACTACAAATTAAATCAAATTTAAATTCACAGCTGAAGAGTAAACATACCAATTACAAATATATGAACTAAAACATCTCCAGAGAACAATTTGTTTCATAATTCAAAAGAGAAATGAATCAATACACAGTAATTAACTGTGTAACCTGCAAAATCTGTGGGGAAAAGCAGTTTAGGAAACTCACTTTAAGATGTGTAAAGTTTACAAATAATAAAAAATCACTTTACTATGTTGTGCTTGCAGTTTGAATTCTTTAGAAAAGTGTGCAATAAGTTATACAACTACAGGCTGATGCTACAGCATAGTAACACCTCATGAAGTTGACTTACAGATGAGCTATGGTTGCTGATTAGGCTGCACCTCCTACTTGAACAATACTCATGTGATTGGAGTGAAAGCAACATTGTCTGGCTGAAGATATGGATTCACATTCCACTTGTGGAGGTTTGTTCTTTTGGTGGGATAGATATCTCCCTGGTAAAGGGATGTGGACTGTAAATTGTTGACAGGGTACACCAAATAGATTGTGTGTCAATTTATGAAGTTCATATTAACAGCAGCATGGCTTGGAACGGGCCTAATTGGCACAGAATGTCTTTACTAATAACATTGTTTGCTTTATAAATACAAAAACAGATTTTAAAAACAGCTTTCCTGGAGAGAAACGTTTATAGCAAATGGTCATGTTTTATAAATGCTAATAATGTGGTCAACAAGTCTCACATTGTATACATAACTATTAACATAACCTGCCTCACCATTGGCAGGAGAGCCTTCAGCTACTCTACCCCCAACCTCTGGAATTCCATCCCCCCAGTCACTCCGCCTCACCCTCTCCTTATCCTCCTTCAAGTCCCACCTCAAGACTCTCCTCTTTGACCATGCCATCGACCACCCCCCCTTCCCCTCCCCTCCCTTCCCATACCAGACCCCAGCTCGGGTCTGAAATACTGTATTCAACGCCTTGGGACGTCCTCCCGACGTGAAAGGCGCTAACAAATGTAATCTTGTTGTTGACATCTAAGTAGTATCTTAATTTGACTATAACGGTATTTTCCACGCTTACTTTAGATTTCTGATCACTACCAGTGCCCATCATAAATCATTAATACAACAGAATAAAGCCAAAGTGGTAGGAAAACTGAATTTTTAAAAAAATCAAAAACAACTGGCATTTATTTAGCACTTTTCACATCGGGAAGTCTTCCCAAGTCAAGGGCTGAACAGTCGAGGGATTGCAGTCAAGGGATTGGGGGTTTGGAATCAAGAAGGTAGGGGACAAAGGATTAGACTTCGAAGGATGACCGAAAGCACAACCAAAGAGGAAATTCTTGAAACGGGCCTTGAAGAAAGCAAGGCAGGGGGCGAAGCAAAAGGACTCTGGGATGGAGTTCCGAAGTTTGGGGGCAGAAAGTCTAAAGGCCCAAGTGCTAATGGTTGGCAGGGGACATAGAGCAGGCCAGTGCCGACAGATCAGCCAGAGCTGACAGATTGGTAAAATATTAATATTATTAACAATATTATTAATTATTAGATTATTATTAACACCAGCAAGAAGGCATTTCTCACTGAAATACACAACAAATTACACTTGTATAGCACCCTTCACGTAGGAAAGGGACATGAAGGAGACAAGAGAGGGGTGAGGGGGAATGAATGCGGGATAGTTTCAGAGTGTGGGGGCAGAGATGCTGAATGCCTGACTGCCAATGGTGGGGCAGAAAGTGCGGGGAACCTGGAGCAGGCCTGTGCCCCTGCCGAGCGGAGGGAGCGGACGGGCTACTATGGGGTTAGGAAGTCAAAGACCATAGAAGTCTTTGAAGGTGAGAACCAGGGTTTTAACTCGATTCTCTGAGGGATGGGGAGCCAGTGAAGCCGGCCAAGGATGGGGGTGATCGGCTCGTGGAGCTTGATGCGGGAGAGGACATGAGCTGCAGAGTTCTGAATAATGTACAGCTTGTGGATGGAAGAGTTGGGAAGTCCAGTGAGCAGGCAGTTGGTGTAGTCAAGCCGGGATGTGATGAAAGCGTGCATAAGAGTCTTGGCAGCCTGCGATGAGAGGCAGTGGTGGAGGCAGGCAATGTTGCGGAGCTGGGGAAAGGGTCACGGCATGAATGTGGGGTTTGAAGGATAGCTGAGCGTTGAACAGAACATATAGCTGGCAATATACACAGGAAACTGTGTGCAATTTCTCTTCTTCAGAAGAGTTGTAGGGTCTTCTGAACAGTCAGGTGGAATGACATAACACACTTTGTGTGATTTATACTGGCAGGTCATTTTCATTAATACTGAAAATCTAATTTTAAAGCATACAAAGCAGTTCATAAGTTGTTAAGATTTTAAACTGCGAGTACAATTTGGTACAACGCATTTTAAAAATTAAAAAAGACAGCTATATACTTGATTTCTTTTTGCTTAATTTCTTTTAGGACCAGTATTTTGATATCCCAAATTAAGTAGTTTCCTAAAACAAGACATTTTTACCGAGTGAGGCATTGATCTTTGATTCTGAAGACAGGATATAAACAAGGGTTGAAATCAAACTTTCAAAAATTGATAAGCTATGACCTGGTGGTATTGAAACAGCCCGAGTTCGAAAACTGGACCAATACTGGATTACTTTAAAAGCAGTTTATCAAGTTGCCTATTTTGGAGAACTATAATCCGATCCATTGCGGCATCAATTAGCCTACAAGCCTTTTCAAATGTCATAGAATCATAGAATCGTACAGCACAAAAAGAGGCCATTCGGCCCATCGAGTTTGTGCCGGCTCTTTGAATAGAGCAATTAATGTCAATCCCACTCCCCAAACCTTTCCCCATAATCCTGCAAATCCATCCTCCTCAAATACTCGTCAAATACCGCGTTTTTAAAAGTAGTTATCGAATCGGCCTTGACCACCCTTTCAGGCAATGCGTTCCAGATTCGAACAACTCGTTGCATGAAAAAATGTCTTCTCACCTCCCCTCTGCTTCCTTTAGAGACTATTTTAAATCTGTGACCTCGAGTCACCGACACAGCCACCAGTGGAAACAGTTTTTCCCTTTCTAACCTATCAAATCCCCTCATGATTTTGAAGACCTCTATTAGGTCTCCTCGTAACCTTCTCTGCTCCAATGAGAAGAATCCTCGCCTCTCTAGCCTTTGCTCATAATCGAGGTCCCTCATTCCTGGTACCATCTTTGTAAATCTCCTCTGCACCCTTTCCAATGCCGTAACATCCTTCCTATAGTGTGGTGCCCAGAACTGGGCGCAGTATTCTAACTGAGACCTAACCAGTGTTTTATATAAATTAATCATAACCTCCGACTCTTGTACTCTGTGCCCCTATTTATAAAGCCTAGTATCCCATATGCCCTTTTTCCAGCTTTATCTACCTGTCCTGCCACCTTCAAGGATTCATTTACCTGAACCCCCAGGTCTCTCGGTTCTTTCACCCCCCTTAAGATTGTATTACCAGCCTGTATTGCCTCTCCTTATTCTTTCTACCAAAATGCACTCCTCGCATTTCTCCACATTGAAACTCATCTGCCATGTGTCTGCCCATTTTACCATTCTGTCTATGTCTTCCTGCAGTTGGCTCCTATCCTTCTCACTGTTTATCACCCTACCTAACTCTGTGTCGTCCACAAACTTGGAAATGGTACTTGCTATACCCAAGTCCAGATCATTTATGTATGAAGAGCAGTGGTCCTAATACTGATCCCTGGGGAACGCCACTGTGCACTTCCCTCCAGTCAGAAAAGCAGTCGTTCACCACAACTTTCTGCTTTCTGTCTTCCAGACAGTTCTGGATCCGCTGCCACTATCCCTTTTATACAATGGGCTTCTATCTTTCTTACAAGTCTTTCATGTGGCACTTTGTCAAATGCCTTTTGAAAATCCATATAAACTACATCAACTGCACTACCTTCAGCCACCCTCTCCGTTACCTCATCGAAAAATTCTATTATGGTTATAAAACAACATTTACGTCGCAAACAGCGTTTAAGAATAGCTGACAGATACAAACAAAATCCCATATCACTGAAATTTAAACTGAAACGGTTTCTTATCTGAATACATTTAGTCTTTCCTGGGGGAGGGGTGGGAGAAGTTTTGAAGTAAACAGCTAACGCGGATAGATACAACAGCAGCAAAATTACATTTGTATAGCGCCTTTCAAGTCCTGAAACAGATGAGCCTAAACAGAAAATTAGACTTTTGTGTCGGCCACAGATAGTTTGTTCTGCGCGACGCCTCCCTGTGTGGCCTTGACTTCTTTGTTGACAAAAATAACAATACGCGACTCCAGCTCCAGCCCAGACACAGCAACTCTGACAGACCCCGAAACAGGCTGCTCACACAGGAACAAGACACAAGACCGGCGCCCAACATGTTAGAGGTTAAGTTCTTGTAAACACGGACCCGCTCCGCAGTCATCAACTCACTTCCACAGCCTGTCCCAGCTCCAGGTCGAAGCCCACCACGCAAATAGAGTGAACCCAAGCTGAGAATCGGTCCCAGGGCAAAGTCGGCGACTCGTCGGGGCTCCACGCGTAATCTTTGAGAGGAATGATACCGTGTAGCAGCTCATCGATGTCCTGTGCGCTCTCCTCGTTATCTCCCAGACCCCGCAGAGCCATCTTTGTTTCTCTTTTTTTCAGTTTTTACAGCCCAGACCGGACGCGCGACGGGGGAGGTGGGGGCAGCGGACCGACGTCACGCAAACCTCCCGACGTCCAGACGCAACCGCAGCCCTCCCGTACGTTAAAGGATGACGTCAATTAAAAAAAACTCAGACTTTTATGGTTCAGTCAAAAAAGGTGCTTTTCATGCTCCTAACTGCTTCTTTTGACGTTTACCACTTGACGCACGAGAGGCAAAATGAATTAAATATCCGACAGCAAGTTGACAAATACATGAATTAGTAATGGCTGCCATGGAAATAAGTGAATGTTCTTATTTTCAAAGCACTGTATCTTGGATATCTTTCCCACCAAATACAACTTCTCTCCCCCGCCCTCTGGTGTGATACCCAGTTACACAAGTCCATCAATGTCCTCATCTGAGTCCGGCCCCTCTTGCGCCACGTTCGCCAACGCTGTCCTCCGATTGGTTGTAACTTCGCGTCAATTACTCCACAACCCCTCAGACCCGGATGGGAGGGGCCAGTGCTGTGTGGGGGCCGCGGCTGATTGGCGGGCCCACTTGTGCACGGCAGCGATTGGTTGGGTCGGATGTCAATCACACGCCGGCTCTGCTTCTTCAATCGGCGGGGGCTGTATGCAGTTGCAGCGGGGAAAGAGCTATGGCGGTCCAAGTGAGCTGTAGCGGCCGTATTACAGGCAGCTGTGGGTGGGTGGGGGGGAAATAATTTACAGTACATTACGATTCCGTTTCGGGGCCCAGTGACGGTAGACCTGGCGAGTGAAGGTGCGCCTTCATAAAGTTGTTGGCGCTGAAGCCGCTGCGACTGTAGCCCCCCCCCCTCTACAAACACCTTCTCCTTCTCGCCGTTGGTGGCCGACGGCTTTGAGCTTCTTGTCTGACCGAGAGGATATTTGTTTTGATTTCAGGTCACAAGTTCACATCAACCGGATCGCCTGTCAGGATTGAGCCAGGCCTGAGGCCTGTAAACTCTTGTCTGCGTCTTGGTCATTGACAGGAGGAGCTCCGAAAGAGAATCGCTCGGAGGAGCTGCTTGGCCCTCCCCTCCTCCACTACACAAACTCCCCCACCCTCCTCTCGCTCTCCTGCACTCACCCCTCTTTTCGAGGGCTGCCGTCATTAAGTCACGATGTGCAGTGTGAATACGGGCAATTAAAAAACGTGTCCGAAAAAGAGAGCGTAACTACAACCTTGTCCCGTCAGGTGGTGGGAAGGAAACCAGCTCGAATTCTGACAAGCAACTCGGGGATTTGTTCCCGTGTCCTAGGCCTAAGAAGTTTCATTTCATTTATTGCTTCCACACACACACTCGCTCGCACCCCTTTTCTCTCCCTCCGCCGTTGTTGAAGCTAAATGACGGTGTATCAACGCCGACCTAATGGAGTGATCGGTGGATTATCAAAAGCTGGGGATCTGCGAGGAGAAGGGATGCGTGAATTGCTGCTGATTTATCGATATAGGTGTATTGCTGAATGGAAGATGATTCGTTGTTTTGTATAGAAATCTGTTGTGGGTGTTTATGTGTAAATATCATTTATATATAAAGTCATTTGGGGGGATTTTTTGTCATACGCTGAGAGAAAAAAACGTGTCACTCTGGATCAGGAAGTAGTTCGAGGCGAGTTTCCTCTCTTCACTTTGACCGAAGCTCCTCACCAGTCCCCTATGCCTTCAGCACTCGCCATCTTCACCTGTCGGCCGAACTCTCACCCTTTTCAGGAGCGCCATGTCTACCTGGATGAACCTGTCAAAATTGGCAGGTCGGTGGCTCGCTGCAGACCAGCTCAGAACAATGCAACTTTCGACTGCAAAGTGCTATCTAGAAACCATGCTCTCATCTGGTTCGATCACAAAACGGGCAAGGTAAGGATGAGCCATTATTTGACTAATGATGAAATGCGAGACGTGTCAGCCAGCTAGTTATTTTTAAAGTGATCGGTAAGAATGTGGGTGATATTAAATATGTTTTGGGGGGAGTGTAATTAATTGTTAGTGACGTCTTCAGGTTGGATCACTGCTCTTTTAGTCCACTTTTTAAGTTAAATGGAATTAGCCTTAAAAATTGAATATTATTTTATTTTAGTTTTTAACAATTAATGCAATACTGCAATGAAATACTGTAGTTCTCAAAATCGCCCCAAATCCCAACTTTTTTGAATATCATTCTTACTAACCAGATGATACAGCATCTACTTAAATGTTCTGAATCCTGTCGGCATATGGTTCACAGGCTGGCTGCCATCCAGTACATTGCGGCCATCCTTCATATTTGAACCAAGACAGTGAGTCTTGGCAGGCTATTTGACAGTGGTGCTGAGATTGATCTTGGCTTTGGTTGACGTCCATGCACTTTCCAGCAAGAGTCGCTAACAGAACTCTTCCTGTTTTCCCCCTCCCCTGGGGATGTTAAGGTAATTTGTCGCAGTTTTATTCCTCAGAGAGCAATCTAGTTGCTTTCTGGGTCAGTATGACTTAGTTTTACACTAGATAGCTATCTAGAGCACTTACTAAGTTTAGGGCAGCTAAACAATTTACTTGCATAAATGTTAGTGCTGTGAATCTTGTCAACCACAAATTACACGTCACTCCACTTAACAGTATATCCTGGGAAGTGCTTTTAGATGTCTTCAAGACGTGATAAGGCTCTATATCAAATGCTATTATTTATTATATTATAACTCAGTTGCAGTCTTCCACCTGGATGAAGGTGGTAGATGCAGATTTTTCTGTATGCCTATGTTGTAGATTGGCTACACAAATGGGGTGAGACAAACCTGTGCTTGTAATAACAGTGTGGTTTTTGATGTTAGTGAGTATCATTCCTAGAGATTTGCCTGGAACCTGGTGTGTGTTATTGCTGCTACCAATAATAGGTTATTTTATTCACCACTGAGACTAATGCGCGTATAGAGATGTGGTGCTATGATGTCAAAAATTGATAAGAGTTATAGACTCTAAGTGAACACTGAACAATCCTGATGTAGATTTGAGCTTATATTTTAAAATGAAAGTAGGCCTAAGCATTGCACTTTTGCATATTGGTATTTAAGCCAAATGATCATTTATGCATCATTTTGATAAATTTTTGGGATTTGTGGATTTTAAATGAATCGAGTTGAGGGCAGATAGACTGTAAAAAATCATCAGGAATTTATATTTCTGGTCTTATGAAAGGCATTTTGCCCATAAAATATACAGTTAATTCATTTCACAATATATTCTGTGAAGTGCTTTGAGACGTCTCGAAGACTTGATAACAACAATAAAATTACATTTGTATAGTGCCTTTCACAGCGGGAGGATGTTCCAAGGCACTGAACAGTCAGAGTTTCGGATCTGATCGGGGAGGGGGGAAGCAGGGTGATCGAAAGCACTGTTGAAGAGGAGGGTCATGAGATGGGTCTTGAAGGAGGCAAGGGAGGGGGCGAGGTGGAGGGACTGCGGGATGGAGTTCTTGAGGGTGGGGGCAGAGTGGCAGAATGCCCGCCCACCAATAGTGGAGCGAGTGAGACGGTGGATGTGTGGGTGATGTTGTGGAGTGGGAGAAGGCAGAGTGGGTCATGGCACAGATGTGGGGTAGAAAGGATAGTTGAGGGTTAAACAAGACGCCAAGGTTCCGGACTGGCTTAGTAAAGTGGACTGTGCATCCATTTTCAAGTCCTGCCTCAAAACCTTTCTCTTCGACCATGCCATCGGCCACTCCCCCTCCCCTCCCTTCTCCCCCACTGACCCCAGCTCGGGTCTGAAATGCTGTAAGCTGTCCAGCGCCTTGGGACATCCTCCTGACGTGAAAGGCGCTATACAAATGTAATCTTGTTGTTGGTGATGCTGCCGTTAAGTTTAACTTAAGCCACACGTGTTCAGCGGCACGCATCTGTGCTTTAAGGGAGTGGAGGTGGCTGGTGTACCATGGTGACTTATGTGAATAGGAGATGGTTTGTGAAAGGAGGGGAGCAAGGGAATTGAGAGTAGAGGAGAGGGAGCTGTGGAGAAGAGTGACCGAGGAGGATAGGTCATCGTGGGAAGGGAGCCCAGATGACTCCAAGGCAGCCGAGAGGGGAGGGAATTTTTTTTTTAAGTGCGGTAGGAGATAGAGATGGGTTGGGTGGCGATGGGGAGAGGGAGTTAAGAGAGATGAAGTGATGGTCCGAGATCGCTTTGTCGATGATGGTGTGGTCCGAGACAGTAAGGCCCCGAGTGATCACCAGGTCAAGGGGATTGACCTCAGATGTGGGTGGTAGAGTGGATGTGGAGGGAGAGGCTGAGGGAGGATAAGTCAGCAGAGGTAGAGCAGGAGAGTGTGAAGTGAAGGTGGAAGTTGCCTAGGATGAGGAGGCAATGGGAGCAGAGGGAAGATAGGAGGGTGGAGATGATGGTGGGGAAGGTTTGAGTGGGGGGTTGATAGATGAGGAGAATTTTGAGGGAAAGGTTGGGGGTGATAAAGGATAAGGTGCTCAATCAAATGCAAGTATTATTATTATAAATGTGTTTTTCACTAGGTTAATGTTAGCAAAACTGCCCTTTTTGGGAGGAAATGCAGGGGTTTTGTTCTCGATATGCAACATCTTGGCACTAGAAATAGGAAAACAATAAGAGGCCATTCACCCCATCAAGTTTGTTCCTTCAATGTATTAATATTAGATCTTGGCAGACCTTTTAATCCCAATACCCCACCCCTACCTTTCGTCATATCTTTTAATATCTCCTTTACCTACGTATGTGTATGTTTCTCTTTTAAATATCTATATTGATTCTGCCTCTACAGCTTTCTGGGGCAGGGCATGCTACATCTTCACAACCCTCTGTGTGAAGACATTTCTTTCATTATTTTAAATATCTCAATCAAATGACCAACTAATCTCTGCTCTAAGCAACATAACTCCAATCTATGTGGCTCCACATTCCCAGATATTAATCTAGTGATTTATTGCCAAACACTCTCAAAACTGGACATTGAACGGTTCTCCAAAATGCTTTTTCTGCCAATGCATTTTTTGTTCCTACTCCCCGCTTTAAAATAGAAATATTTAGTACTGTTAGGAGGTTCATTTAATTTTTTATTTCTTTTTTCTTCATTTCTGAAATGTCCTTTTTTCTGATTGTTTCAAAAAATAAATGTTCTTCATTGTGTAGCAAAATGTAATAACTTGTATACTACTAATTGTCTTCCACATTACTGCAGTAACTAATATGCTGAAATAACCCCTTCTTGATTTACAACTGTAGAACTAATTCTTAATTCTTATCAGATTGCAGGATAAGAAACTGAAGGCTCTGAATACTTTCAAGTGTTGTATTATTGCAGCAATGTCAGCTATTTTCTGTGGGCCGGATCAGAATAGTTTCTTCAAATGTATGTCCTACTGCGTGCAGTGCAATGGCATATCGAATGCCGTACTGAATTGTATCATTATTAAATCCATCTTTAGAAACTGTCAATAAACCTGCCTGTGTTGAAATATGACATGAATGAATAATTTGCAGATTATTTAATTTGCTTTATAGTAAGCGCTCTTGGACACTACCCTGCATGAGGGGCACTATATAAATGCAAGTTGTTGTTGTTATACTGATATACCGCTATGTGAAAAGATAGGCTAACGGATAGAATGTCAAAACCTACACCATAATCTTTAAATACTGGGCCATAAAATAATTTGAAAACATGGTGTGAAATAAAATTGTATCCTTTCACTCCTGGTCCAGTAAAATGTTCCCTGCGAAATTGTTATTCCAGTTTCTTGAGGAAATTATATTAATTTAGATAATTGTTTTATCAGTAACAAATATCATAATTCAGGGTAGGAATAAGAGAAGAAAAGTAAATAAATGAGCATCTCTCAACTTGGTAGGGAGAGTATTCCAAAGTCTATTCCAAATATTTGGAATATTCCAAAGAGTATTCTATTCCAAATATTTGGAATATTCCAAAGAGTATTCCTGAAAGTCTTACTGAATGTCTGAGGCAGGTGACCAAAGGTGTAGTCAAAGAAATGGGACTTTAGATCAGTTTTGAAAGCAGAGAGGTGGTGGAGGGTGGGGAATAGAAGGTGGGAGGGAAAATGGCTAAAAGTTTGTCTGCTGAGCATGAAGCAGACAAGAATTGGTTGAGCAAAGGTAGAGAAGGGTTCCAGGAGGTCAAAAAGCAGATAGGAGCATTTGAATGTACGAAAAGGATCTTAGTTGTTTCACTGGTGATGCAGAGTATGTGGAGTTGGCAAGGATGTGGTTAATGGGTCCATAGAGCCACGGCTGCAGAGCGACAGGAGACAGGCTGCAGAGTTCTGGATGATGTGCTTGTGGAGGGTGGAGATGGAGAGGCCATTGAGTAGAAGTCTAGCTTGAAGATGTCAAAAATGTGGTTGAAAATTTTGACTTAACCCCTTGATGGTGGAACATTATACTCTGACTGAAAGTTTTGCTGTGGAAATAACAAGTTATATTTTTATAGTCCCTTTTACGTTGGGAGGTCGTCCTAAGGCGCTGGACAGTCAGGGATTTGGACCCAACCAGGGTGTTGGGATCAGGAGGGGCGGAAGACAGGGAGAGTAGGGGTAGGAGGGTGACCGACGGTGCCGTCAAAAAGGAGGGTCTTGAGATGTGCCTTGAAGGAGTCAACGGAGGGAGCAAGGTGAAGGGTCTGGCATGGCGTTCCAAAGGCTGGGGGCAGAGAGGTTGAAGGCCTGACTGCCAATGGTGGAGCGGCCGAGCCGGGTGTGGGACATGGAGCGGGCCGGGTGTGGGACGTGGAGCGGGCCGGATGTCGTGGAGCAAGCTGGAGCCTTTTGAGTGGAGGGAATGGACAGTTGATATGGCAAGAGCCCCACTTGAGAGTTTTGTATAAAAGTCAACTAACTTTGCAG